CTATTTGTTCTTATTACAATTATATTGTTTAGCCTTGAAAGATTAATGTTATCCGTAAGTAGGTAAATAATATTGTTTCTTGTAGCATATATTTGCATATTTAAATGTAATGTTTATGCAACTATTGAAATATCAGAACAATAATCACATTTATATATTTAGTTCAAGATAAATATAGCGCTGTTATCAGTGCATCGCACTTGCTTATGTATATATAATAAGCTAATATAAGGCTAATGTAGTAAGCTAAGCTAATGTAGGTAACATTTATGTAATTAAACAGAAATATTTGTTATTCATTAACAAATTAACTAGATATTAATGTATTAAACGGTATTACTGGGTGACCACTCAATTCGATCGATTTTTTTTTTCTTTTTATGTTAAATCGTGTCTAATTAATTTTGTAATGGACTTTATTATTTTATTTTTTTATTGTTGACAAGTATTCGACGTATTTCATATTTTTGTATTTTTATAATATTACGAATTGTTTTAATGACTCATTTAATTAACAAATGTTAACATTAAATATACTTTTTAGGTTTTATATTTTGTATGCCTAATTATGACGAAATATGAGGACTTAAACCTATTATTAACATTTAACACTTACCATGTTTCTTGTAAATAAATTAATTGATTAATTAATTTTGTATTTTTTTATGAAACAAAATATTATTTTAATATATTATGACACTGCTGTTCACCTCTCAACCATTAAGTTTTTTTAATCGCCTCATACGACACCCACGGGAAAGGAAGCGTTGACCCATTCTATACCGGGACCACTATTTTAAATAGAATTTATTTATTTTTAATTCGTTAGCAGACACGTTATTATTATGAATTACAATCTTTTACACGTACAAAAAACGGCAAAGTTTAAAAAAAATTGAGGTCAAGGTTAACTGCTTTACTACTCAGCAGGTAAATGTACAAATACGAGTACATTGCAACTAAAATCAAAATAAATACAAAAATATATACCTAAATAAACTTGCAGTGGAATTTTGAAATAAAAAGCGAAGTGACCTTCATTATCATCCAAATCCAGAGGACTGATTAAGGACTTATTATATTACATATAAATTTAGTATTTATTATAAGTATAATTTTTTTTATTTAATTTTTTTTGCACAGTTATATAATTATAGTTTATATTTATTGTATACAAAATTTACAATACTATAATTTATATAAAATAAAGATGTACAACAGGCGAGCTTAACTCTGTAAGAGTTCTCTTCCAGCAAACCCTGAGTGGAAAGGTGCATTAATTACCAGTGGGCAGTGTGCGTACAATATTTAATACATAACTATTTCATACATAACACAAATAATACAATATAAAGTTAATTAATTAATTATCTATCCGTTATAAATTATATATTAAATTGCGAATACCCTATTAATGTATAATATTAAAATTTATGAAGCATGGTACATTATGTTATTTAGTATTTACACTGTATTATGAATGCTAAGAGGTGAAATTAAAAATCCGTGTATTTTATAGTAACAAATGAAATATGTAGGTATTACATACAATACAATACATGACTAGCAATATATCCAATCAGGTCGACCTCCTCGCGCTTCCCCCTGGAAACTATCATGGTTAATTCCTGATGAATTCATCATGACTAACATGGCTAACTGGTCTGTTTTCATTCTCATCTATCACCCTTCACTGGTGCTCCGCCAGCGTATCCCGTTAGCGCAGGCGGGGTTACCATACCATATTCACCTATCAAAAAAAAAAAAAAAATACATGACTAAACAATAAAGTTATCAGACGTATGACTACTATGGTACTTAATACAATGAATGGCGTAATATGGAAAAAAAATTGACGTACAACAGTGAATTATATTGCTCCACAGGTGAAGGCGAAGGCTGATATCTCATCAGAGGAATTAATTATTCTATCGACAATAATGTTGATAAAAATAAAAATGAAAGATAATCAGCGCTTAACAGTGATTCTTGAAGATAATTATATTATACATTAAAAAAAAAAATTAACAAAAAAATTACGTACAGCTACAGCATACATAGGTGTTTTACATTGTCAAATCATTTGAAAAAGGATGGTGTGATTAAAACAATAAGAAGAAACGAGACAACCAGTGTTTATCATTTACACGGAAGTACGAATATACAAATGTTATAGTGGTGTTTATTAACATTAACTTAAGGATTCATTTTCGTCATGTTTTTAACGTAGGCATCCACCTTCTTTTACTTTAAGCGAACTTTAATTCAATTTCTTTCTTTTTTTTTTGCCGTGTGTCAGCCAGGCATAACCTTGTGGTTCCATAACCGTGTGTTACGAAGCGAGGAATCTCTTCCTTCCGTAGAGATTAAATAATCGCAAACAAGATTTGTGTAATCGAACAAAATTGGAGTATTAAAATTGAAGATAAATATTTTAATAGCCTTAAAGTTTAAACATTTGTCTGCAAAAGGCGACTCCGATCCTAAGCTTAATTTTATTAAAAATATTTATTATTTAAGCGGCGAAATTAAATGAATAATCTATTTTACTGTGCAACAAGCAGTTTTTTTTTTTCGCAAAGTAAAGCGGTACCTTCAAGAATTAATATGAGTTTAATTCGGAAATCTTTACTAATATTATAAATGTGAAAGTGAGTTTGTTTGTTTGTTAGCTTATAGCGGCTTATACGGTTTAACCAATTACAATTAAATTTGATAACTCACGGTCAGTAAACATATTATATCACGCGAACAAAGTCGCGATTTTACTCGCTAGTAAAAGATATCATTTACAAAAAGAACTGAAATCATTAGCCAGAACTAACGTCGTAATCGACGTCATATAGTCACAAAAATTAAGATTATTTGAAAACATCTTTAAAAATTTAAAAAAGTTTAAAGTAAGTATATATATTTATATTTATGTATGTATTTGGATGTATGTGTTTATTTATGTATGTGTATGTATATATATGTATGTACTATGCTGTCACAGATATTATTTTTTACAGATCTATTTCTTTTAACGCGCCACCTACCTATTTATGCTTTAATTCCTTCTTCCCAAAGGTTGTTTGGAAGAGATTGCTTAGCAATAAGACCGCTTTTGTACTACACTATACGTATTGAAAATTGTTCAACCAATCCTGTTATGATGGTGCAATAAAGTGTTAAATAAATAAGTCGTTTAAAAATTAACAACTACCACGAATTGTCATGCTGCGTATAGCGGCCAAGCTTATGACTCATTGTAATGCGCGGGAGTGAGTGAGCCGCGTAATTACAATATGTTATGGTTCTGCATCTTCATAGTTAAAAACTAAACCTTTTTGGAATCACTTTGTATTCCGCCTGTTAGTTCATCACGATCCTTTTTTGTGCAGATCAGCTAAGGTGTCAAGCTGATTTTTATATGTAGCGGGTACTAAAGAAAGAATTAAGGTTATGAAACATTAAACACACCTATATAGATACCTACCAATTCCCATAGTGACAAGAACGTGATCAGATTTATACGTTATATATTTTAATCACAGATTATTGACGGTCTCTATGGCGCTGATTTGCGTAAAATAATTTTCGGGTATGATTCTTGATCGGCCCAATATTGGATTAAGCTTAAATCACTAGGTTTGGGATACAGCTAGTAATCTATACTTATCTATGCGGAAAAATTACACACTGTCGATACAGTTTTATTTTCGGTCGTACAAAATCTTGTAATTTGGCATTTATAAGTATATTGATAATTTTTGCTGTATGTACCTACATAGAACGGACCATTCCTTCCTATTCCGTTGGTGCCGTAAGAAGCGACTAAGGGAATTAAATGATCGAGGGATGGGCAGCAGCGCTCTTCTTGAAACATCACCAAAGGCTTACTAAAGGCTTGCCAACTCGCCTGCCAAGCGTAGCAACTGATGACAAAATCCTAAGGAGGAGGCCTATGCCCAGCAGTGCAGTTAATGGCTGTTATGATAATACTAGTAGATTTTATAGTAAAATCGTACGAAACCCTCGGAGCGCGAATTCACCAGTACATGTCCTAGTTTTTCCATAATCTTAATGTATGTCAATAAGTCATCAGTTTATCAGTGTCAGTGTCGGAATGGAAGGTTTATTTACAACATTGTAGCATCACTACATTTTAGTTTTGAACATTAATTGGATTTGACCAAATCGCAATGGTATGATATATTGGAATAAGGTCTAACATAGTGTAACAGTATAGACGTAACACAGTAATTATTTGTACAATAATTAGCACTGTAAATACGTAATGTCAATGTCAAATCGCATTATTGCAGTTCATGTTAATAATTACCTACGTAATGAGCGCAAGCTGCAAGAACATAGGTATTTATTAATTAATTTATAATCTGATTACAATATTGTTGTAACTACATGTAATAGGTGGGTATAGATTTAAATTATTTAGCTTATAATCCAAAAATATAATATTGCTATATAAAGATTAGACATTGTAGAGAAGAACTATTTAATCGTGCTTTTTTTTATAATATATACACAAAATAGTAAAAGCAAAGCGCCGTGTGGTACGTCGCTTTTTGTAAATGGGATCATGGGTTATTCTTACTCAGGCCATCTTTTTCGAAAATAAACTTTAAAATACTTCAGTTGTCAGAATCAAGTAATTTTATATTATTCTGGACTGTTTTCTCTCAGATGTTCATTGTCTGTACGCAAAGAATACTAGCTTAAGTTAAGGACTAAGCAGTTGATGGAATTATGTGATTCTTATTATTTTTAAACCGACAGGTTTATGTAATTATTACACAACAAGAAAACCTTGACTTTCCTTCATATGGCTCGCAATTCCTTTCAGGGTCCATTCCTGCACTAAAATTGATCTGATTCATATCGCCTTGTATTCGAAAAAGGTTACTTGGTATTATTAATATTGTAAATATTTAGTTAAAGGATAAATTATAATAATATTCGTGCATGCATGAAACAAGTTATAATTACAAATCCAAGTTTAAACTACTATTTTATTATTAAATTATTTTAATTGAATTTATCTCAAATCATGATAATTATTGCTTCAGTTTAATTTTCTCCGTAGCAAGAGCCAATTTGCGAATGTTACAGAGGCAGCCAGCAGACGCTTCTTGTAATATTGGGTCTTTAGATCCGATTGTTTCCAACAGGAAATGTACTACCCCAGCCTGTAAAATATGACAAATTATAAATTACTTTTTTACATAAGAACGTTTTAATAAATGTATGAGAACAAACGAGTGATTGGGATTCTGTACTTCTGCAAACACAAAATTTTATTACCATGACGTAATGAGTATATAATACAGTTTCGGCATTTATTGCTTATACGTAAGTAAGCATTATTACTGTAAGAATAATATTTAAGAAATAATTGCTACTATATTGTAAAGACGCAATACTCGACATTTGCTCATTTCGCTGAGCATATTAAAATTTATCGCCAAATCCAAATTCACGAATTAAGGCTTATAAATCAGAGTAGTTTCACTAAATTATATTTTTTATATTTAATCTATTGATAATTGATATATGATTAAATAAAATATTGAATAATTATAATCAAAATATTTACCGCGTGCATTGTAACACAGTTTATAGAGTAGAAAGAGAGATGGTATAGAGCCAATGCAGTTGCTCTGTGCACGCTGGGATCACGAGATGTCATATAATTGACCAAGGGAGTAATGGCTCCACGTTTACCAAACTCTTGACGATTCTGTGCCCAATCGCAACAATAAGCAATTGCTACGCCCAGATTAGCTCGAAGATGGTCGTCTGTTGTACTAACTGCAATCAAAATTGTACGTTAAATAACTTAATATTATGAATAAAGATGCAATCGATATTATAACTTATAGATACTCGCCAAGTTTCGATAGCTTTCCAACAACGCCATGATCAGATATAACAGCTAAATTCTCATGATCCTTAGCAATTGTTGCTATAGCAGCGCAAATGGCGGACAAAACGTTATGATCATCAGAATCTAATAAATCAACAGTCAATTCTAAAGCACCGACAAAAGATCTGACCATCTCGCCTGAGTCTGCCGCATTCTGAACACAAGGACTTAATGCTAATGCAGCGTTAGTTTGAACTTTTTTAGAATCGTTTTTCAATAACGACCATATGAGTCTAACGCCATCTAATTCGTCAATTTCGGTCATACAGTTCTGTTCCTTGGCGCATTCCATTAATACCAATGGCACATTCTCCAAAAGAGGTTTATGTGTATTGTTCAAATGGTGAACTGAAAAAATCATAGAAGTGAATGTTGCAAAACTTACAAATAAATCAATAGTATTTTAAATTATATATATAGAAGCTTCATAAACTCTGTACTTACTTAGCATAGGAATACCACCTGCACTTCTAATTTTATCTCTATTAGGAGGATATTTAGCGCATTCCGCTAAAGCTCCAGCTACATTAGTTAAGACTCCGTCATTTTCGTCATCCAATAATTTAACCAATATAGGAACTGCACCAAGCTGATCTAATTTCTTAACGCTAGCATCGCTGTTAGCACATTTCCATAACGCACCAGTTACGGCTGCCATCAGTGGTTTGTTAGCTCTGTTAGTACCATCTTGAGCAGCTTCTACCAGTAGCTCTAGTCCTCCAGCTTCACGAATCATGTCTCTTGTTATAGAATCACTTGCGCATTTATATATGGCTAAACTACAATACGTCTGTGAAAATATGTAATGAAGTGCTACGTTATAGTTTATCTGTTTATTTTGAATTATCACAATGCTGATAAAATATTAGCATACCTTCAGATCCTTATCTTCGTTAGCCAAATGTTTTATTAAATCATTGACCATTTTCTCAGTTTGTATAGCTAACTGAAATGAAGTCTCATTTGCACACATTTGTAGAAGTCCAACTGCAGGGATTGCCACGTCTAGATGAATTGTTTTGAGCATCCGTGCGATTAGAGGTATCATGCCATACTTCCTCATTGCTTCCCGATTTCTTTGAGATGATGACATAGACCAGAGAGCTTTCGCTCCAGCTCGTGCAATATCCAAAAACTGTAACTCGTCGTGATTTAATTCTTCACGTGGTGTAACTAGATACCTGGTGATCGTAGATAATATTAGTTATAACTTAAAATTTTTGTAAATAACGTTACATAATTTCGTTGAATAATATTTTCGACTTACCTTTCTTTAATATCCAACAAATCAATTAATTTGGGTATTCCGCCGAATTTTCTACAGAATTTTCTACTTTTACGAATTCTGCCTAAATTGGCAATAGTTTCCGCTGCGAGTATTTGTACGTCTCTTGCTGGGTCTGACAAAAGTCCCACAAGCAACGGAATCGCTCCCAAATCTGTAACTTTCTTCCTAATTTCAATATTTGGTGTTATATCCTTTAAAACGGCAAGGCCTCCCAAAATACAACATAAATCTCTGGTCTCTAACAAATTTACAAGCAGTTCTAATCCACCGATTTCTTGAATCGCTCTTTGGTTTACTTCTATTGTAAGGTCGTGATCCTTCAAACAAGACAGTGCAACCATAGTAGCTGTTTGATTACCAGCCTTCATATATTTGACGAGTTTTTGTATATGCCAATATTCTGGAGGTATTTCCGATGACTTGATGAGATCTGCCCAGTTGTCCTCAGTTGATGATGTTGATGAAGCAGAAGATGCTGAAGTATCAGATCCCTCAGTAACCATAACAATTCTAGGTAATCCAACAGTATCCTGTCCCCCATCCACACTAAACGTAGATATATTGTCGCCTTCCGCCATGATTTATTTAGTTGTATAAAAAAATATCGTATTTAAAAAAGTAATATCAAATGAACAATCTTAGTAATCCTAGCGTCGTTATGTCAATGTGGTTGCTTAGTAACACAAGTATTTTTTAAGTCCTAATGAACTCTTATGTACGTACTGTTTTTCATTTTAATCTAATTTATATACGTACATTACAAATATTTATTATTTATATAACTAATACTATTTTCTTCTTCTTTTTACGTTGATAAATTTATCCGATGTCTATAATATAATGCTATATAAGTATATATGCAATTAAATACCCTAATCTATGAGTACGTATATAGGTTGATACTTTACATAATTCTTTGCTTTTCCCAAAACAATATGTAATTTTTTACGTAAAAATTGCTTTTCTCAAGATCTCATTTACTAAAACTCCCAAAATATATTTGAATAAGTATGTAATGTGCATATAAACAAGTATACGGAACTAAATTTAAACGAAAAGACGGCAGTAAAATAATTCTTTATTATAATTATTTATCTATTCAGTAAAAATTGTACGTTCTTAGCTTGTTCTGTCCTTTTTCTACGATTCTTTTGTTCTATTCTTCCTGTTTGATGATCTAATAAATATAGAGGCCAAACTAGTCACGTCGGAACAAATATATGTCACCGTAAAAAACATTTACTTCGTTCTCAATGTTGATATTAAATAAAATAAATATATCGGTATTAAGTCAGACCGATGAGCTGAACAAATGTTTTATATGAGTAGGTACTATTGTGTAATTACTAGCAATCCGAATATATAATATCAGGTTAACCTCCACGCGACCCTCCCTATTAATCCAAGTAAATTTGTCATAATGGACTTTTAATCCTTCATCGTAGTAATGGTTCGACTGGGAGGGAAAGGGATTTTTAGTAACATGGACTGAGTTCCATTGCTAGCAATATACCCTATCAGGTCACGTAGTTCCCCCTGGAAACCATCGTGCTGAATTCCAGGTGAATTCATCACGGTCGGCTAACTGACCTCCCCATTCATCTTCGCCTATCATTGCTCATTGGTGCCCCGCCAGAGTATACCAGTAGCGCAGGCGGGGTTACCATTCCATTATCATCCACTGAAAAAAATGATCCAACTGATCTTACTACATCTTTATCTGGTTACTTTCATAATATGACATGTGATGACATGGTTTCTAAAGTAAAGCTGTATATTTTATGTAACATTTATTATACCACTGAAGTGACAAACAAGCATACGAACCACCTGATGGTAAGTGGTTACCTTAGCCTATGAACACCTGCAATACCAGAGGTATTACGCGTGCGTTGCCGACCCTGAAGAAACCTCTTTACCCCTCTTTTGAAGAACCCCATGCTGTAGTCTCTTGGGAAAACCTCGCCAGGGAGCTCATTCCACAACCTGAGTATTACTTGCTTACCTCTATATAAACATATTGTGTTCTTTGTTTCAGTTCCGGAGAAGCGTGAAAGATGTGGTGAAGCCAGAACATAACGATCATTATTTACTGCGATGGTTAAGAGGTAATATATTAACACAGTAGTAGTTTTATTTAGTAGATGTATTTACACTTCCTCTATTCATGTATTCACTATTCACGGATTAAAAAATTGCGACCCAATACCTAAATTCGCGGCTATATAACTTTATTCGCGGATCTAATCGGTACAAATTAATAAAAAGAATTCAGTATCATTTGTAAATACATCGGGAAATGGACTAATAAAAAGTTAAAACAGACCTTATTACGATTACGCCTAATGCATGTTGTCAAATGCTGTGAAGTGGTTCGACTTTTTATATTTACAGTTTCTACATTCGCGGTATATTTACGAAGCATATACTCCGCGAATAAAAAGCTTTTACTATATATTGACAAACATTTCATAGAAGTGAATTTTGCAAAACCTACAAATATTTAATTAGTATTTTAAATTCTATATCAGCATAAGTACAGAGCGTCATGAATTCTGTACTTACTTAGCATAAGAATACCATGCACCCTTCGAATTTTATCTTTATTAAAAGAATCCTTAGTGCATTCTGCTAGAATTCAGCTACATCGGTTAAGACTCCATCATTTTCGTTATCCAATAATCAAACCAATGCAGGAACTGCACCGAGCAAATCTAATTTCTTGACGCTAGCATCGCTATTAGCCAACACAACGATATTACGATGGTTAAGAGGTAAATTGTATAACCTCAAATACATTAACAATCAGCTCAGTAGGTACCTTAGGTTGAGAACTGCATCTACGTGTAACACGTTACGAAATCAGAAGTCGACATACGCAAATATTAAAACCAATCTCAGAATAGTGGAAACATTTTGTAAATTTTAGCTTATTATAAACTTTTTTTGTGAATCAGAAAAATATAATAAAAATTACTTACACTTAGTATAAAAGATGTTGATGGACATAATAATGAGAATTGCAGGTACTTAATCTATGTGACAACAATGTTTTATTATTATCTTAATTCTGGCTTTTTTTATCTGTGAATTGGTTCGCGTGACTTGGGTACATATATTAAGGATAGTAACTGAATGATAAAAAAAATGGCCTAAGTACATAGGTACTCTATCCCAAATACTACATAATACCAAATTTTAAAAGTTAAAGCACAAAGAGGTAATAAAGGCATTTTATTCAGATTTTTATATTATCTAGTTTGTATATATATATATTTATATATATATATATATATTCTTTATTGCACAAAAACATACAGTAACAACAATAAGTTAATAACAATGTTAGCAAAGGCGGTGTTTTTATTGGTGATAATGGAATGGTAACCCCACCCGCGCTATCGGTATACACCGGCGGGGCACCAGTGAAGGATGATTGTTGAGAATGAAGCAAGTCAGTTAGCCCATCGTAACGAATTCAACAAGAATTGTTTACGATGGTTTCCAGGGGGAACCACGTGGAGGTCGATAAGGCATATTGCTAACAATAGGACTGTCAAACTTCATTACTAACAATTCCTTTCCCCCCTAATATTACTTAGAGGGGGGAAGGGATTGTTAGTAACGGGGAGGTTAGTCCCCATTCCTATCAATATACCTTATCTGGTCGACCTTCACGTGGTTCCCCCTGGAAACCATCGTAAACAATTCTTGTTGAATTCGTCACGATGGGCTAACTGACCTGCTTCATCCTCAACAATCATCCTTCACTGGTGCCCCGCCGGTGTACACCGATAGCGCGGGCGGGGTTACTATTCCATTATCACCCATCAAAAAAAAAATATTACTTAGAATTCATACTTTCACAATTTGTAACAAACTATATATAAGTAGGTACCTAAGTTCATAATGATCATTGTCAATTCAGTGTTAATGATTACCAGTTTTAACATAATCTTATGTATATTTATTAATATAAATATTATTTAAGTGTCTATCGTTCATGATTTGAAATACAACATAAGTACCTACTCGTATTGCATGTATTAAATGTACGATAAATTGATGTAGTTTCTCTTTTCTATTACACTTATATAAAAAGAGTTACTAATAATTTATTTAATTACATGGTTACGTAAACTCTCAAACATAGACATTTGTTATTGACTATGGTATACAGCAAACTGTGATTTGGGTCTTTATACACAAACCAGTGACCCGTCTCGACACGGATTCAATTGGCTACTTAATATAGCAACGTATCAAAATCCCGAAGTATGCTGTGAAACAAGCAAACATATAATTAATACTATGTATTTAAAAATGCTACAGGCTTTCATACCTACAATACAGTTTCATACTTACAACTTATTTTATACATTATACTTTTCATACCTTAGTACGACCCATTAATATCTCACTGTTTTTTTTTTTTGTGATAATGAAATGGTAACCTCGCCTACACTATTGGTATACGTTGGCAGGACACCAGTGATAGATGATAGTTGTGGATGAAAGCAGGTCAGTTAGCTCATCGTGACAAATTCTACTAGAATTAACCACGATGGTTTCCAAGGGGAACCACGCGGAGGTTGACCTGATAGGGTGTATAGCTGGCAATGGGTCAGTTAGACCCCATTACTAACAATCCCTTTCCCTCCTTCCCCTCCAATATTTCACTGTTGATCATGGATAGAAACACGTAGCTAGTATCTCGATTCGAGTAAAGCACCTTTAGGAGTATTATTTCGCTTTATTTCTCTAGGTTTTATCTTGGCATATTCATAATAGCTGAAAGTTTGTCTGATTAAACTTTATTATATTTCAGCTAGAAACTGGAATCCAGATGCGGCAGAAAAAATGCTACGAGATGTAAGTATTTCAATACTTTTTTAATTTGTATATCTTTATATTGCTATTACTTATTAACTTATTGTGACGGTAACGCTTGTTATCGAAACTACTTATTTTAATTCAATGTAAAAGCCAACAAAGATGTCTGATTGGTTGTTACTCGAGTACGATTTAAGGACACGAATAAAATTCAGTACACACATGGACCATATTCTAGATCTTGCTTGCAACAAGTACTATTTTACTTTGCAAAGAAAAAGGCAACATTAATCGTTACAAAATTAAAATTACAATACGGGAGTAAATACTATTAATTGCCTTTTTGCGTATTTTAAAATACAACAAATGGTGAAGGTTCTTCTTTTGGAAGTCACTTACAAATAACAAATTACGAGTACAATAGTTTATTATGCAAATTATCGGTTTGTATTATCCTTACTTGTCATAATATATTTAAATTGCATATTATTGTGAAAAATATATTTTAAATAAATTATTTTTCTCTACTTTAAACATCACCAAAACCTAACTGCGGATGCCGATCAGCCTGACAAGTGTCGCAACTACTGGCAACCCTCTTCCCCCCTTACCTCCTAGGTAAATGATAGTACACTTAAAATGAAACATGAATAACAGCATTTTACTTAGATATGTAAGTGAGAAGCAATCTTTTATTGAAATCGAATGAAAAGAGAAATTTAAGTATTATTTTTAATAAATTAGCTCTTTATTTTTTTTGTCAGTAGATATAATTTTAATACCAGCATTAGTCCTTGGCTTTCCAAGTATATAAACAGATAAAATCCTTATTATATATGAAGTTAGGATATAACCTATCAATAGGTATACAACATCCATTAAAACAAAAAGTGTGATCAAGTATTGATTATGTTTACAGTCATTAAAATGGCGAGAAAAGTGGGGAGTGGACGAGCTACAGCATTGGGAAGGACCAGAAATTCTACAGAAGTATTTTCCCAGTGGCAGCACGGGATTTGATAAAGAAGGATCGCCTGGTATGTAAAAATAAAAACTGTTAAAGAATGTGTTGCAAATTATATAACTTTCCCTGTACATATTGTATTATCACGTGCTCTCTATGCCCTATGCTCGTACATGCTAATCTTCGAAAGCATCCAACCGACTTCATTTTGTAATACCATCGATGAAGTGCAACATATAGCGGTAGAGTGGCGTATAAACTCGATGGATGTGCCACTTTAACCTGAATAAATTAAATATTATTCTTATTCAATCTATATTAGCTAAATCCAAGTCAGAAAATTTTGTATATCTCTGTAAATTATTCATACCCATTAATTCCTCTTTTTCCGTGACTAAGGAAAGTAAATAAAACATTTTTTGAGAAAGAAATATAAATAAAAAATAAACTTTTGTGATTGCATATAATTGGTACCGGATTGAAATATAGAATAATTTTGCATTATAAAAGACGGGAATTAATGCATTTTGATAAACGGCCTTAGTCAATATACTCGTAAAGACGGTCCGTGTAATCTGGTCGAAACGTTGAGATAACCCAGGCAAATTATCATAGTTTATCGACCTCTCTTATAAACCATAAATCATGCAACGCGAAAAATTAATAGAATATTTTTGGACCCTATATGTGGCGCTATTGTCGAGATATGAAACACCGTAAATGATATCAAGATAAATACAAATAAATTACTATTTATTTCTCTATCTTTCCAGACAATAATCGATTTTAATATATTTTGAGCCTTGAACAGACAGAATTCTTTCAAGTTTCTGTCAATTCCATGTACCTATAGATAGTTTATTTTCCTCAACATGCCATGCCATTCTTTACGGTCTATTTTCAGTTATAATTGTCCCATTAGTGGGCCTTGACGTGTGGGGTATGCTGCATTCATTAAGCAAATCTGACGTGATCCGAATGGTGATAAAACACTTGGAGAACTACCTCGCCATAGCGCAGAAGCAGGCGTTAACTCATGGACCCGCTGCTTTGCAGGTAACTTTCAGTATCTTTCGTAATTTTTCATTCTAAAGGCTGTCTGTAATTAGTATATTTTAAGAAGCCATTAACAGACCACTACTGGGGATAAATCTATTTTTTTTTATATAACATAGAATGGCAAACAAGCTGACGGCCTACCTGATGGAAAGTGGTAACCGTCGCCTATAGACATAAGCAGTACCATGGACATAACAGAGTATACTGTTTCGCCCATGATACCCCCATGATATCCCACCCTTCAAACCGAAACACAGCCATGCGAACACAACTGCTTTACGGTTGAAACACAAATGGGACAGAGGTACCCAAGCAGTCAACTTTTGTACAAAGTCTCTCTCTGGTCTACCTCTTCTATTAGAGAAGGATATTTATTAATAATGAGGTATAACAGCTCCATTGAAAACAATACACTCTATTAAGTAGACCTCTACGCAATTACTCCTAGACACCATTGTAGATTTGGATTTTTGATATTGTTTGTATAAAATTAGGAAAACAGATGGACAATGCCCTGAAAATATATGAAGGATATGTCACGTTGACAAAATTGTCGAAGTTAATTTAGTTAAATTTAATGTTTTGTGTTGTTTACATATACATATTTCAAGTCATGATCAGCGCGATCAATTCAAAGCGACGCGTTTATATACATAGGTATCTACTATTTGTTCGTAATCGCGTCACGATAAATTCCGATTATGAATTTAAATACAGCTAATAGATATATTATTATCAACCGATTTCAAAAATAAGAAGGTGCTCAATTAGATTGTATTTGTTAACAGACGGAATAATGAGGTAATAAACATATTGTTACCTCATCAAAATATGTTTCTTACCTTATAACTCCGTTATTTGTAAACCGACTTGAAAAATTCTTTTTATCTGAAAGGATATACTTACAGATGGTCTCAAAGAATTTTTAAAAATCGATCCAGTAGTTAAGTTTTTAAGTTAAAACAACTGATTTTGCTACATTTGAAGTAAATTTTTTTTGGGAAACAATCTTAAATTGTGGGTCTCGTATTGCAGGCTACAGTCATCTTCGACCTAGAAGGATTCAGTATGAAGCAGTACGCGTGGAAGCCTGCCGCCGAAATGGTGTTTACGTTGCTTCAAATGTACGAAGCAAACTATCCAGAGATACTTAAGATATGTTTTATTGTAAACGGTATGGAATTTACTTATATTGTTTACGATAGATTCTAATCAGCTCATGATTATTTTAGTAGGATAAGGTACAAATTCAACAAAAGAATCAATTATCATAATTAATACATTTTGTACAATGATAATATGAATTCTGATCAGATACAATCAAAGCATTATCATATTTTTATATATGTACATTATCGTTATCACTTCTCTATAGTATCAACTAGTTATCTGTATAATAGAATAAATAACAAAAAAAAAAAAAATACTCGGTATCAAAAATAAGCTTGAATGCTACGATACTATCAGCCTATTTTTTTTTTTTTTCGAAACTTTAGAGGCGAACGAAAGAAAAAATTTATATTACATTTTGAAAAAATGAGGTTCTTAAAAATAAGCAAATCGACGACATTCGTCTCGAAAATGACCTCACTGCACTCGCTAAAGACCAAGCGAGCAAAGAGGAACGCGCAAAATGACTGACTCATTAGGTCCCTCCAATTATTCTCGACCATTTTACTTATAAATCTATTTTAAATCGTGGCCATTTATCACGTCAGATTTCCGTATAAGTAAAGCTGTATATTTTATGTAACATTTATTATAACCACTGAGGTGGCAAACGAGCATACGGCCCACCTAATGGTAAGTGGTTACCGTAACCTATGAACACCTGCATTACCAGGGGTATTAGGCTCGCGTTGCCAACCCTGAAGACCTCTTTACCCCCTTTTTAAGAACCCCATGCTGTAGTCTCTTGGGAGAACCTCGACATGAGCTCCCTCATTCCATAACCTGTGTGTGTTTATATGATTGTTGTGCCCTTCCAGGTTTCAAGTTGATACTGTACCTTAAATCCTTAAGATCTATATTCTTACAACATAAAAATATAATAAATGATTGAATTAAATTGTATAAGGTTTTTAGGGCTGCGAAAGTGTCTAGACACGTAACAGGCAGATAAGTACTATCATATCATAATGTCTATGATCAGTGGTACCCTGCACTTTAGTTGTTTTGTTAAGAGAGGGACTGGCTGAAAACCAGCGCTGTGCAGCTGTTCACATTGCGTTGGGACACTCACAGCATCAGCTGAGCCGGTTCCTTTTGCCGAGTATGGGACACTTTTTGTATATGTTATTTATATTTTATATTGTAATTGTAAGGCAATAAACGTTTCTATTCTATTCTATTAAAGAATTAACCCTAGTGTTTGTAACAGGGGACTTAAAAATCAACAAATGTCAAATGCATTTATAATTTAGACGTTGACTTTATAGATAGATAGATACTCTTTATTGTTTCCTCCAAAAGATTACAATAGTAAACTTATTATAAATATAAACAACTACGAAGAAATAATCACAGTGAGTAAATAATGGGCGACCTTATCGCTAAAAGCGATCTCTTCCAGACAACCTTTGGATGGAGAGGAGTAATTATAAACAGTTTGATCGGAGGCACGATGAAATTCCATTATTACTTTAATTGTATTTCAACCACCGAAACAAATAAACTTGCCAATTTTTTATTTCCATTTCATTTTCTAATTCCAGCACCGAAAGTATTTTCTCTCGCGTTTTCCGTTATCAAGAAATTTATGCACGAGTACACCATATCTAAAATCAAGATCTACGGCAGTGACTCTAAAAAGTGGCAGGCACAAATACTGATGCACGTGGACAAAGACCAGTTGCCTGTATTTTACGGCGGCACTATGGTGGATGAGAACGGAGACCCAAAGTGCAGCCTAATTGTAAGTATGCCAAATAAATACCTGCCGGTGAGAAGGGAGCGGGGTGTGGATGTAATCTTAAGTATACTAATAAAATCCAGATTTCCAAATGAAACTTAGTTGGCATTTTCCAATTTTGAACACCTTTTGGACCTTCTAGTAAAGGAAGTAATATTTTTTTTAATAATTTACGTTGCAATGTACAGGTAGATGAGCTAGCTATAGAATATCGCCGAATATACAAAGTATAGGCGACTCTAGAAGTTTTTTAAACTATTTTTGCACTAAATCATCTAAAAAAATATTTTATTTTAGGTGAAACCTGGTGGTAAAGTGCCAAAGAGCTACTATTCAAAGAATTCCGACAAAGAATCGTCGAAAGAGTACACACGAGTTACGATCAAGACTGGCGAAAAGCACTCGGTAGACTTGTTATGTGACTCTGATAGTGTTTTGAAGTAAGTTAATTTTGATATATATGTGGTGAGATAATACTCACCAATGTTTATAATATATATCAACTTTTATAATATAATTGAGTTTTAAAAACAAGCAGACAAACAAACATTTTGTTATATATATATATATTTTTTTTTATTCAACTTAGAATGGCAAACAAGCTGGCGGCCCACCTGATGGAAAGTGTCGCCTATAGACATGAATATATATCAACTGTTTCGCCCATGATACCCCCCATGCGTTCCCATTCCTGAGGACTCAGATGTTATTCCTCCGTACCCAGTAAATTCACGCCATATCCCACCCTTCAAACCGAAACACAGCCATGCAAACACAGCTGCTTTACGGTTGAAACACGAATGGGACAGAGGTTATATATATATATTTATATCATGACGCTTGGACACGGCACTCACTCGCAAGATGCGCGCGCAGGTCGCGCAGGCGCTTTGTGATTTTTGGCTGCGCGCGCATACCGCGCACGGGCCAGCGACGACAGTGTTTTGTTAACTTGGACAATTTAAAAGTTTATTTGTTTTATTGTGAAATACTTATTATTTTTTTTTTAATTATTGATTAAATTTATTTACAAGATGAACCCTACTATTAATCCTACATATACATTAGATCTTTGCAAAAGAGCACACTCATTTCTAGTATAGAATTTATATATATATACACTTATTAACTTACATTACCTAATTACTTACTTATAGAGGGAAAGGAATTGTTAGTATCTAGTTCTTGCAATCAATATAATTTGCGTTCGTGTTAGTTTATATTCATTTTGTCACTATTAAAACAGCTTTTTTTTTTTGTAAAATGTAATTCTAAATTATTGTCCTTAATTAAACTGTATATTACAGATGGGAAGTCGGCATAGACAGTCACGATATAAAGTTCCTAATAAAGCGAACCGGCGAGGATGGCACCGAGAGCGTCGTGCACGGACCCAGGAAGGTGTCAGAGGGGCCGTTGGACATCGGCGTGTTGCCCGTCACAGGACCTTCCACTTGTAAGGCTTCATTCAAAATAGTTCAAAACAACACAATAATTCTATTAGAATAACCAATTCGCGTAGGAAAATACTTAGAACGGCGAATAGACAGATTTTTTTATGTGCTAAATCAGGGGTGACCAACTTGACTAGACTCATGATCTACTGTTTACTGATGAAACCCTGTGGGATCTACCAATTACATATTTCTTGAAATCCTGATCCGGGAATACCAGATGTGTTTTTTTTTTGTCTAATTGGCAGTTTTTTTTTTTTCGTTTTTTATCGATACGTTTTAATTTTACCGGATCACAAATTTGTATCGATTTTCAGTACATTAAGGCATCATAAATCGACTGACGAAAAAGACTTACCTATTTTTTTAAAGTTTACCTTCCTTGTCTTATCCCCTCTTTTGTTTTGCTACCTTTATTCATATAAATATACTAGCTCTTATTCGCGGTTTCGCCTGCGTTAATATTGATTTTGTTCAACAATTCTGGCTGTTGGTATAGCCCACCCTCATTAAGGAATAATTTGAAAAAAGAATACTTTAATTATAAATTATAAACAATAATTCTGCACAGTTTAAAGCAAATCGGAGGACGCAATAAAAAAAATCATACAGTAATTACCTCTCCCTCACTCCATCCTCTAAAAATATTTCACTAAAAAGTAGCCCATAACCGTTTCCAGGGTCATATCTATCTCTATACCAAAATTAATCGTAATTGATTCAGTAGTTTAGGCGTGAAACTCAACAAACTTTCGCATTCATAATTTTAGTTAGGATACCATTATAAAGTTTATAACTACCAAAACTGCCAAAAAATTATCCAAATTTCTAGTTCATTTCAATTTTCTCCAAAAAGATTTCCAAGATTTTTATTTCTCCAAAATTTCGCAAACAAGAAAATTGCGTAAAAAATTACCCAATCTGGCAATGTTGCCAGAATCTCAGGAGCGCAATCGAATATTCTCCAGTTTAAGCAAAGCCATTAGAGAAACGAAAACAATACTTATAAATACAATACAAAAAAAATAAAATACAATAAATACACCAGTATAAGCATTGCATTTGATTTCCCTAATGGCTTCTTGCAACATGCCTACTAAAGAAATGAATATTATCATTGAGAAATTCTGTGACTGTAGAATGAGTTGCACCATTCGCCTCGTTTTTTTTTTTTTCAATTAAAAAAAATACTATTAAATATTCAGCCGTTAACTATCCACTGATGAACATCAACCTTCCCCATAAGGGGAGCTTTTCCAGTAGTTGCCACGTTTGGCACGCAGATTGGCAACTGCAGTTAGGTTTTCACAGATGTTTTTAGACGCTGCTGCCTAACCCTCTACCATTAAGTTTCCTTAATCGCATTTTACGACACCCACAGGGAAAAAGGCGTAACCTCTTAATTTATACTTTACATACATACATATCTGTCACATCTGTCTACCATTAGGGTAGGCAGAAACAATGAAACGCCAAATGCTTCGATTCAAACAAACCTCAATTTATTCTTTAATTATATAATAACCAAGTTTATTACAGCACACTTTCATAATTAGTCATATCTTATCTTACATTATTCCTTCCACAGATACCGTCATATTTGATAACTCTAGCTCTTATCTGCGGAGTAGAAAGGTATTCTACGACTTACTAATTACAATACCGACCAGGGATCTCAACATAAGCGACGAGCCAGATGACAACAGGAGGTAACCTGCCGTTCTCAACAATTCATGAGATTCCTAATTAACTAATGTACAACTACTTAGGTTACGTACTTTGTATAGTTAACTATAGGTAATATAATCCTTAGTGGACAAAATCAAATTGTAAAAAAAATGTGCTAAATTCTATATATTGACTGTGTAAAATCTGTTTACCATGATCACCATAATGTAATTAAGTAATAATTAATAAATATAAATCAATAATTCCGACCCAATTCAAGAATGTTCTGTGATAATTTTTGTTTATGTTTTTAAAATCATTCTAAATTCTGATGTGGACAATCTGTTATACATCTATAAATTTTTATTGTTTTTTTAGTACCTAAGTGTTGTAAACTATATTTCCAAATTTTATTTTAGATAATAGATACTACTTTAATTTTTATATGTACTTTAATATAATGTATTATGTATATATACATTTATATACCTCGATCTCAAATTTTTCAAAAAGACAGTCCAAATAAATTTGATAATTGTATTTTTTTTTTCTGCTGATTTTGATATTCATTATAATCTAAGATATTTATGGTATAGGTATTATTTATTTTATAGGTATATACGAGGTCTGTCCGGAAAGTTCGTATAAAAGTGTTCTGGAATATAATGTATTAGTTCTGGTATATATACATTTATATCGAAACTCGGCAAGAATGGCCGTGAAAGCAAAGAGTGGAAGACATCCCGGGAACCACGAACAAAAAAATCAAGAAAATCCCGCTCAAATGTCAAGACAATGTTGATTGTTTTTTTCGATGTTCGGGGGATTGTCCATCAATTCGTCCCTCCAGGCCAGACAGTTGATGGAAAATTCTACGTCGATGTGCTCAGACGCCTCAAAGCTCTTGTGGCACGAGTTCGTCCAGAATTGGCGCGAGAGGGGCGTTTTTTCACCACGACAATGCCCCTGCCCACACCTCTCTTGTTGTCCGTGAGTTTTTGAGTAAAAATTCCATTACGGTGACCGATATTCGTGTGACTTCTTCTTGTTCCCAAAAACCAAATTGGTACTTCGGGGGCGGCATTTGGGGGACATAAATGAGATAAAAAAATTACGACGGGGCATGAGTATAGGTATTATTTGCATTATGTTATGAAGGTATAAAATTGATACCTGAATAATTGTAAAATAAAATTTTTAAAAAACTTTTATACGTACTTTCCGGACAAACCTCGTACATTTGTGTAATTCAATTCCGAAGTAGAATTTTATCACTAAAATATTATAAATTGTATTATCTACGTAATATATATCCGTCACATTAATAATCTTAAATGATATTGATATAATTTCTATAGTAATGAAAATGTTGGATATATGGATTTTATGTCCCATCCGAGATCAGTAAAGTGGGAATTACGCCTGTCGTGTTATGACGGTAAGCACTTATCATTAGGCGAAGTGTATGCTTGTCACAAGTATTATATAGAAAAATTGCGCAAATAAAAGAGTAAAGAGAGGTATAAAAAAAAGGTTGTTTACAATCATAATGACTATCAAAAATAAGCACATTATGTATTTTATACGGATTAAGATTTTTATGTAAGCTTAAGCATTCTAATTGTACAACACGGCTGATAAAAATAGCAGGTTTATAGGTTTGTAAACAATTTTTTATAATTATCTATGACTATTAATGACTGAAATGTTTTAAATACATATAAAATTTTAGTTACACCAACGGTATAGGTATAAATATATCAATTCTAAAGAATAAATTCTTATAGATTGACTTTTTTAAAATAATTTTCAGCATTTTTTTTAATGACGGGGGAAAATATGTAAGCTCCTATTTTTTATTAATGAGTATGATGTTTTTAATATAAATTTATAAATTGATTTTGCAGTTTCATTTTCTTCAAGAATTATTTATATTACAATAAGTATTCATGAAATCCTAGAAAAATTAAGTTTTATGAACTTAGAATGGCATACAAGCTGACGGCCCACCTGATGGAAAGTGGTAACCGTCGCCTATAGACATGAGCAGTACCATGATACCCCCCATGCATTGCCATTCCTGAGGACTTAGATGTTATTCCTTTGTACTCTGTAAATTCACTGCCATATCTGCTTCACGGTAGAAACACGAATGGGACAGAGGTATCCAAGCAATCGACTTTTGTACAAAGTCTACCTAAGTGTACCATTATTAAATTTCAAGACAGTGATTCATAGTGTAGGGCTCTTAAACGACTTCTGGGCCCTCGCTAACAGGGTACTGATTCGAAGCACGCACATTTACTGAGGGTATTCAGAAGGAAAATAAATTTATATGAGACGTGGAATGAACGATATTATTAGGCCAGAACTAAAGATGAATTTATTTAAAATGATAGCAGACAAGATTAGCATTAATAACTATGATGTATACATGTTAAACGCGTGAGGTATATAACGCGAAGTTAACTCCCTACGACCGCGGACGGCCAGTCTCCATGCAAAACCGGTTCTTAAAGCGTCAGCGCAATGTTCATAAGCAGAGCGGAATAATATATTTAAGAATATTGTATAGATTTATAAGAAATCTAACTGATCCAATATAATTAGACAACATTTGAGAAACCGCTACTATATAGAATAAAAGTAATAGAATTGTTAATGAAAAAATATATTTATTAACAATAGAGCTTATGATTATATTTTATACATAACATACAATGCGCAATACAATACAAAAGTGACTAATTAATTACAAAATATTAGTCTTCTTCTTCAAAAAGCATCTGCAGTAGTTCCCTTTTGGTACATTGCTCCCCTTCTAGTCTTTGCACACCCTTCCATTTAACAATAGTTGGGATCACCATGAGTCGTGTTCGACTATCCGTTCTGAAGGGGCAGGCTTTGTCCTTCCAGCTAGAATAAATTATTTTATTAATGATTACACTCTTTAAACTTGACGACTTCAAAATGAAATTGGCTAGATGCAATTTTTCAATCAATTTCAAAAAGAGGAGGTGCTTTTATTTTAAATTTTTCATTATTGTTATACAATGAAATTCAAAAATTAAGTAAAAGGATTTATTCCCATATTGCCCATGAGAGCAACAAATTATAACAAAATAAGTATGAACTTATTTTGTAAAAACAAAGGTTATTTAATGTTATCTATGAACAAAGATAGATTTATATATATGTATAAATCTACCTTTGTTCAATGCTAATTATGCCGATCACAATACTTACTATTCTCTATTCCCAACATCAACATATGCAAAAATTACACTCTTCTTCAATTCAGTTAGATATGCTTTCACAATGGGTTCCGCTGCAATTTAGAAATTGGTACTTTAATACCTTTGAGAGTATTTAAGTGTACATATACCAAAATACTTTATATATAACAAATAAAATGTTTCTAAAATATTTATAAATACATTTTAGATCTTTATATACTTAATAAAATAACTTTATCCAAGATTTAGTTAAAATGACAATAGTTCTTTGACAATATATACACCAAATCCTTCCATTTTCTTATTTACTCCTAGAAAACAAAAAGTAAAAGGTTTGAACCTTTTTTCAGGCATGGTATTGATGCATTTAATAGTTTCTTCATAGCTACATAAAATGAAGATTTCTATCTTAGATTTTGGTTTTGGCTTTCCTTTTTAGGTAAATACATTTAAATGTAACACTTGATACAATAAAATAAAAATAGTAGAAGATTTGTCCAATTATTTTTATAAATAGATATTACTTAAGTCACATTAATATATGACAACTCTTGTATAGAAAAGTTTATAGATTAATAACAAGTTTTAAATATGTAATTGATTATAAAATTATTTTGTCAGATTTTAAATATATGACATATATACGTGACTTCGTCCGCGCAAGCGGGCATTATATATTTATGCATGACGATTGGTCGTATCATTTAACGTGTCACAAATCAATAATAACAAATAAAATATAGCTAAATAAAAAAAACTCAATTTTACATTTAGAATAAGAGTAGAGATTATATATGATCATAGAAAGATATAAAAATATCTACTTCGGACTTATCAACTGTGAAACTGGATAACGATGAAATTGTTATCTTTGGAGAAAATTATAATTTATATTATGTAGGTATATTTATATATTATAATATTAACCTTCTACACAGTCTGGACACCAACTATTGCCGTCTGCGCTTTTTTCACCACTAAAATAAAAAAATACTGGAGGACCGTTAGGATCTATATTCTGTGTATATTTTGCAAATTCCTGAAAACCTTTGATTTCCACATTCGACACCATATTGATATTAAGGCACTTTATAAGTTCCTATTACAAAATAAAGTCAGATGACTATACTAACGGCAAATTAAAAATGTACAATATTATAGAACAAAATTTAAAAAGTAACAAATAATTATGATAATAAATAATAATTTTAAAAATTCCCAATTCAGTAATGAACGACACCGTACACAAGTGGATTAGTGATGGGACTCGAGTGATTTTTTTTCACTCGAGTCACTCGGTACTGATAACTTACTCACTCGAATGCCACTTGAGTGAAGATAAAACTCGAGTGATTTTTATTGACTCGAGTCACTCGGAATATAAAACTCGAGTGACCAAAATTTTAAAACGAATAAAACAGTATTAATTTTACATAGAAAATGTGTATTCATTTTCTCAAAAAAAAAAAAAAAATCTAAACAAAATGTAAAAAATAGAAAAACTAAACCTGTCATACATAATCAAGAAACCTCTTATATCAACTATCAGTCAAATTAAAATATTATACCATAATCTACTACTAATAAGTAATCCAATTTAATTTATTCTAACAAGGAACTTTCATGAGATCCAAATATAAACAGTTTTATTATGTTCTTACACAATTTAAGTAATAATATACGTGTTTTAAAATTAACTTAAATAAAACTTAAATAAACTCAACAAAAAAAAAACAAAAATAATGTATCTTTAATGAGATAACAAATTTAACTGAAATTGGTGTAATAACTACTTTATAAAAATAAATTGATAAATTTTTTCCCTACCAAACGGCTTCGATAATATCGACTTCAGTACACTTGCTAAAATAATAGAAGAATGTTTCTCCGTAACCTCTTTAGTAGTAACAGTTTGCGAAAAAAGTTTTGAATTATAAGTATTGTAATAGTTAGGTATGCTTTATTATTGTCAGAAGTCCATAAATCTGTTGTAGCAGCTGTATATTCAACTAAATGTAGAATATCTACAATTATAGTGCGTGCGGCATGATAAGCATCAGGAAGAATTTTTACTCTTAAAAGTTTCCTGCTACCGCGGGTAAACCACTCGAGTGGTACGAGTCAACTCGAGTCACTCGTAATTCGAGTCGACGCGAGTCACTCGAAACTTGAGTCATCAAAAATTTAACTCGAGTGCATGATCGAGTTGAATCCCATCACTAAAGTGGATACAGAGTAGATAGTTGACGACGAATTGACGCATGACAGTTAAAGCCATAGAAAGATAATAAAACATAGTAAGAGATATGTAAGTGCTAGATTAGAGAATAAGATAACACGATTGCTTCCAGAATTGCTTATAGTTATTAATTATAGTCTTGGTAGATACTATTCATATTCATTTACGTACCGTTGTCCATCTTTATCTATGTCAAATTGATTGTCAACTACGGAACGGCGATTATGCGGCGGTATGCACTAGCGCATGACAGTTATGTCAGTTGATAAAATATGAAAATAGTTTTATTTGAATTTGTTTTATATAATTTGATTGTGTTTCGTTTATATTTTGTAATTCTAATTGTTTTAAGTCCTAAGTTTTTTCCAAAATGGACGCGACAACATCTATAAAACCAAAAACTATGGCGGAATTATTACCTGGTCTTAGTGGTGTGTATTTTTTATCTATCAATATAAAATATTTATATAAAGTTTAAAATCTGCTTTCTTTACTATTATATATCAAATAAAAAACCAGTAGTTACGTTATTTGTCCATCATAAATATTATATATGTATAATTTTCATAAACTATGTTTGTAGGTATTCTTTCAAGGGATGTAATGCAGACGCTTACCGCTAAAAAACAACCAAGGCCTACAATGGCACAGACTCGTACAGCTGAGAAAGTTTTGAAGCCATTAACTATTGCTGAAATGCGTGCAGACATACAAGGTACAAACACATTATTCTTAAAGAATAAATGTTTTTATAATTTATTTATAAGATGCATTCAGATGTTTACCAAATATTTAAACAATTACTGGATTTAGTCACTTTCTTCACCTTGATATACCTATAGCCTAAAGCTTTATTTCTTATTATTGGAGTTGATGCTAGATATTATTAGGATTTGAAATTCAATTTTTAAATATCATGTAAATAGAACAAGTGTTCTCGCTTCTAAAATATATTGGAATTTTTATATTTGTGCCACTTTGTTTTTAATTTTCATTATTACCCAACTGCATGTTATGGTATGTAGAGAATTTTGTTTACAAAAAGTAATAATTAATTTAAATTTTCTACTTTAAATAGTTTCCATAATACTTTTTCAGCTTTGAAAATACAGTCTCCTAGAAGAGTCGCCCAAAGTACAAGAGCAACTAAGAAAAAAATATGGAACTCTTCTGTAAAGATTGATAAGAAAATAAGTCATACAGCAGATGGACAGATGAAGAATAATCCAGTCAGAAAAGTGCTCAACTTCCAAATGAAACCCAAGGTAAAGTCATAGTCAAGCTGGTCTCAATTTCATATAATATTATTTTTTTAATGAAGTTTGAGATGTGTGACAACAAAAAATAATCTTAATGAATATTATAAACAGGAAAGATTTGATTTTTTATTATAATGAATAAACTTAAAAAATACCTGATTTTAAATATTCATTCACCTATAGAAGGCTATATTATCAATGAGTGACTTGAGCTGTATTTTGTTTGTATTTCTACCCCTATCTCAGGGGCAAGTCACTAGTAGTACATATAAAATACATATATGGAAAGAAAAAGAAATAATATTTGTTTAATAAATTTAAATTTTTACACGAAAGGAGCAGATAGATTTTCAAAATAATCATATTTTAGGTAGCTTTTTACAACCAATTCAATATTATTTGATGAAGTATACATATATACCTATTATATTTATATTATCTATATATCATATTGTTTTATATTGTACTATTTTAATTTATTTTTGTATATATATATATATATATATATGATATATAAATATCCTAAATTTTTTATTTGCTTATTACATTAAGCTGTCATTAATATATTTTGTTATTTTTGTCCACTATTGACTGGTAGATAATACCATATGGTGTTAAGTTTACCTTCTACAGTGTCTAGATGTATTGAAGGTCATTAAAAAATATATGATCAGCAATTAAGGTCAATTTATTAGTCATCCAAACTACGAAATATATTTTGGTATTTAAAAATTGATATCATTCTAGTTGCAAAATTTACTTTTCATCTTGATATACTGTGATTTGAGAAATAATCGTAAATTTTACAGTTTGTTACAAACTCAAGAGTCATTGTACACCAAGTAGCAGAGACACCAAGATTTCCAAAACCTGATTTTCGAGCAAAGAAATCACTTCTTCAAGGTATGTTTTTTTTATGTATTTCTACCACTGATTAACATCAAATTATTGAACACAAATCCTTTGTTGATAAATACTTGTAATATATTAATAATAAATATTTATTAGATAAAAGAACAAGTACTTACACCTTTTTTAATCATCATCATCAAGTAACTGATTACGTGTTATTTGCAGCCAAAAATACAGTGAGGATTAGTGGTGTTTGTAATATACCAGATACACCAGTGGTGGCTAAACCAATTAAAAGCAAGGTGACTCTTGCAAACAAAGAGAACAACTCAAACCAATCCAACATCATAAAAGATAAAAAACAAGTACTGCAAAGACCTTTAAGCAATAAAAAATTGTTACCACAATTAAAACCACCTGAAACACCACTATCTAATGAATCTTGGAAATCTAATTGTGACGCCAGTTTTCTTCAAAGAGAGAAAGAAATAAATGATATAGAGATGAAGATACAAGCCATTTCTGAGGAGCAAACTCTTGAAAACATTGCAGAAGTGTCTCCACCTGTTTCTACTCCATTCAAAGAGTATCGGAATGTGAAGGAGTATTTTAATAACTCAAGTGAATTAGAGAATTCGGGTCTGTACAGTGATAACACAATTATGTGCTTTGATAAACCTGTCGAAACTGGTGTCAGCAATAATGATAATAAAAGAGAAGAGAGTGTTATAGTCTCCCTCTGTGATTTACTCACCAAGACAAAAGTTACAAACCAAGAAACGATTAGCGCTGAACTTAATGATTTGTTACAAGTTGCAAAACAGACTGAATACAATATTAAAATCATTGACAGTGGTATTCAGACGCTCAACACTATCAAGGATTCACAAATTAAGTCTTTGCAGTATGTAAAAAAATTAATACATGACAAAAGAAATGGACAATCAATTCCTGAATGTGATAAAGACAAAACCTTAATGATTAAAACCAAAGTTACAGCAAATGATTTAAAACAAGAATCATTAAGCACTGAAAAAAGTCCTATACTTGTAGAACGTTGTTCTGTTATTAAATCACCTTCCTATAAGATACCAAAAAAGAACATGTGTCTGAGAAAAAAAGTGTTTTATAAGTCAATGCCAAATATTTCAAATAATATTGGAACACCTAACAAAGATATAGACAGACGAGCTTTGGACATGTATATGAAAATGAAAGAGCAAATGAACTTTTTGAATACACCTCGAGTTAAAAACAATAACAGAGCCGTACCTGACACCCCTACTGTTACTTCACACAATTTACAAAGACAATTAAATAAATTGTATGGCGGTAGTTAGGGGCATTTTTATAAAACAAGATATTAAAGAAATATTTAGAAAAAATATGTAATGATTTTACAATAAATTAGCATAATTTTTTAAGTTTGTATAATTTGTGCTTTGTTTATAATATGGCTGCGGGATGGTATTTAAAAAAAATCATTCCATTCTATATAATAAGGAAATAGCTGTGCTATAAGGACGAATATAATAATTACATATTATATCCTCTAATTTAACACAATTGTATAATATGTTTTAGTATAAAGAGTGAATGCACTTTATTACCAATAATATTTTTAGTGTGACTATTATACTTGTGAATTTTTAATTGACTATTAGTGGTATAATACACTATTATATTTATAAATGAATAATTGAAGAATATAATTTTAATCTCTTTCTAAAATTTGCAGTATCTGATAGTTTAGAAATAAAAAAAATAAGATCATTCCTAAGTGGTTTCCATTTCAACTCTATATATATGATTTTAATTCTAAAGTATGCATATAATATACTGGTCGAAATCTATAACATTATCATTTCTTAAAAAAAAGAAAAAGAAGAATTATACTTGTAAACATTGTTAAAGAAATCTCGAATCTCGAAAAACGACAGTCATTTAAAATTCCTCTCATACTAATATTACAGTTAGAATACTTGTCTTCAGCGCGCTGTTTCATACCTTAAAATATTGTTTTACTGTTAGAACACTCAGATGATGCTAACATATCCTCTATATTTCTGACAATAATATAGCACTAGAGTTTCAGTTTAATTCCTCCTCTATACAATCAGATCAGATGATCTATTTAGTTGCATACATTTTTTCTATAAATTAATCTGTATAATTTTATAAATTAAAATTTTAAGTTTTATCTAAAATTATAATAAGAATTAATCATGTTTAGGTGCAAAAATTTAATGGCCACCCATAAACTGTTTCCCATATATGTTTATAGATGTCGCTATGTCATATCGATGTTCAACTACTGATAAAAAATATGTAATTTTTTCCACTTTCAATAAATAAGAACCATCCACTTCAATGCCCCGTCAAAACCAAACATGGCCAAGCTAATAATGCAGTGTAAATACTTGTTTTTAATAGTTTTTTTTTTTTTTTTTTTTTTTACAACACAGGGGGCAAACGAGCATGCGGCTCACCTGATGGTAAGTGACTACCGCCGCCCATGATCACCCACAACACCAGCGGCATTGCAGGTGTGCTGCCGGCCTTTTAAAAAGGAATATACTCTTTTCTTGAAGGTTATGTTGTCGTATCGGTTCGGAAATACTGCTGCTGGAAGTTGATTCCAAAGAATGGTTGTGCGTGGAAGAAAGTGCCTTGAAAAACGCACGGTGGAAGACCGCCACTCGTCCAGATGATTGGGATGAAACTTTAGTTTGTGGCGGGTTGTACGGTGGTGAAAATCAGCAGCAGGTATCAATCCGAACAATTCCTCAGAACACTCCCCATGATAAATTCGGTAGAAGATGCACAGAGATGCAACATCTCTGCGCAGTTTCAATGGGTCAAGCCGGACAGTAAGGCGTTGACTATCGATAATTCGAGCCGCCCGACTTTGAATGCGGTCTAACGGAAGGAGTTGGTACTGTGGCGCTCCTGCCCACAGGTGAGAACAGTATTCCATATGCGGCCTGACTTGGGCTTTATATAATTTCAGGCGGTGTTTTGGCATGAAATATCGTCTCACCCTATTGAGCACTCCTAACTTTTTGGAAGCTATCTTAGCCTTCTCCTCCAGATGACCGCAAAACTGGACGTCGCAAGATATATCAACGCCCAGAATTCCTAGACTTGACTTTTTATCAAGGGAAGTGCCCTGAAAGTGAGGAGATACGACAAACGGCGTCTTTTTTGCGGTAAACGCGCAGACTTGTGTCTTTTTGGGGTTAAATTGAACAAGATTTTGTTCACCCCAGATCGAAACTTGATGGAGTGAAGTTTCGATTTCAGACACAAGTCTATTCCGGCACTCATCGGTATGTGCCCGCGAGATCTTTGCATGACCGGTATATAATGTATCTCCTGTACTGTCGTCCGCATAGCAATGAATATTACTTATCTGTAACATATCATTGATATGCAGAAGAAACAGAGTCGGAGATAGTACACAGCCTTGCGGGACACCAGCATTCAAAGGTTTTAAATCAGAGCATGCACCGTCGACTACGACCTTAATGCTACGTTCCTTGAGAAAACTGGCGACCCAAATGCACAGTCTCGCAGGCAACCCAAATGAAGGTAGCTTTGAAAGCAGCGCTCTATGCCACACCCGATCAAATAATTTTTAAACTGTCAAATAGTTTTTAAACTGCTCTTGTAATTTGTATTTAAGACTGATAAACCACACCAACGTCACAAAGCTTGTTCTTCATATTTACTTTTGACTTTCACGCTGCTTGTTTTATATTTTATAAGAGACGGGAAGTAACGCAATCATTTAGGCAAACTATAATAATTTACCTGAATTATCTTGAACTTTCGAATAAAGAAACGGTCAGTTTTATGTACCAAAAACCCTGAATATAGTGACAATTAATGTGATATGGGACTATGAATGGATAGCAAAAAATACTTCTATCTCAGAGACGAGATAATGCCCTACAACAAGACAAATTTACTCGTGACCACAGCTGGTGTAAAATGAGTTTAAATATATTTGTAAATTTTACTCACGCAACATACAAATGTAAAAGTAGCCTATACCTTCTTTATTAGTTATTTTATGCATGACCTATTATACCTGATAGTAGGTAAATGGCTATGACTTTAATATTTGTCACAAATGTATTTCATTTTGTGATGATATTTTAGGTACAAATTGCCAGAAAGCTCTTTTCATAATTGTTGATTTTAACCGACTGTCAAGAAAAGAGGTTAATATATTTTGATGTATGTAGATATCCATGCATGCCCGAGTATATAACAAAAAGTGTTTGTAGCCTACACACACTAGTAAACTAACGTGTCAAATATTCGGACTAATCTGGACTTGAAACGGACCTAATGGATTTTTTAAATTTAACGGCGTTTGGCTTCAATCAACAACAAAGTTGGAGTGTTCTCAACTCCTACATTGTACAGCCATAAACTGTCAAAAATCTGAAAATACCTAGTTTATAAATATATTTATTTTGTTAAGAGCATCTTTGTTTTATTCTAATAATTAATTTCTTCAGTAATATACGTTAAATCTCCTGGCAAAACTATATTTTTTTTATGGTTAAATTAATAAATATAAGCATTGTAACTTTAAGTCAAAATACCGAGTTATTAATATATTTAAAAAATATTTTTTATAAGTAATCTAAATAACTATTTGGCAATAAATTATATTATTAAATTTTTTTAATCTGTGTCACTTCAGTGATAACCATATTTTTTTTTTTTTTTTTTTTTTTTTTTTTTTTTTTGTGGCGTTCACCCCGATATTAGGGTATTTTGCCAAGAACAAAACGGGGAAACGATAATAGTAATAAAAATACCTAACACAAACGAATTTAGAAAGGATAAGGATTAGGTCTAGGATATTTATAGGATATGAAACATATACTTGTACATATGAGAATATACTTATAAATATATAGGAAAAGCAATTGATGCAACTATAAATGTATTCATGTAATATAACTAAATCTTAATATTGTTATCATATATATATGAAGATAGTATTTTATAGATAATAGGATCATTGGAAGAAAGTAGAGTAAGAATAGAAGTTGGGAATGGAACACGGATGGATCGGAGATGATTAAAAAGGGAGGTGTGGTCAAATTTAGAACATGAGAAGAATATATGATTCAAGTCCGCCACTTCAGCACCGCAATTACACGACGAACTTTGTACAATACCAAGCTTGTATAAATGAGAAGGTGTGCATACGTGACCTAGACGCATACGAGTTATAATACTTGTTGCGGTCTTTCCAAGCTTTAATTTACAAAACCATGGTTTGAAAGGAATATCGGGTTGTATAAGGCGATAAAATCTTCCTTTTATTGTACTTGTTTTTTCCCAATATTCCTTCCAGGCATACCTTAAATATATTTTTGGGAGACAAGCTAGGTCACTACAGTAATTATGATACGGATACATATCACCACAAGTTACAGCCTCTCTTGCAATAAGGTCAGCTTTGTCATTGCCGCTAATACCACTGTGTCCTGGTAACCAGGCAAAAGAAACGGAATAACCTCTCAACATGCAAAGATAAAGACTTTGTCTTATGTCACAAATAATGGGATAAACTGGTTTTGATTTAAACGGATATTTGGCTAGAGCTTGCAAAGAGCTCATAGAGTCAGTGAAAACTATTGCCTTATGTAATTTCATTAAAAGTATATATTCTACAGCTTTTAAAATACCATAACATTCCCCGGTAAAAACTGAAGACTCCGGTGGAAGTTTAATTTTTTGAACGATATTAAATTGTGAATGAAACACACCCACACCTACACAACCGCTATTGTCTGGTTTTGATGCATCAGTAAAGATGTAGTGCCATTCATTCCATTCAATGTCAGTTATAAACATAAATTTGGCATTCAATTCTGAATCATTTTTTAATAACCCAAAATCATATTTAATATTAGGAGATAAAACTAAAGATTGATATGAGCATTTATAAATGGGAAAACAGGACGATGTAAAAGTGGGAGATTCTATGGATTTATATTTTTCATAACTTTGTATTAAACATGGAGGTTTTTTATGTTTCCAATAAGATGAAGACGAAATAAAGATATGTAGTTGAGATAACTTTTGAATAAGCGGATGATCAGATAATTGTAAACAACGAAAAAAGAAGCGATCAGATAGATATTGTCTTCTTAAAACCAAAGGTGGATCACCGATTTCGAGCTGTAAAGCATTGATTGGACTTGATTTCATTGCTCCAGAGATAATCCTCAAGGCCTTTGATTGAATTAAATCCAATTTCTTAAAAGCAAATGAACTTCCTGGAGCTAACAAAAAAGTTCCATAATCAATGACACTCCTTATAAGACCATTATAAGCAAGTTTTAGTGAAACGGGATGTGCTCCCCACCAAACTCCAGCAAGGCACCTAAGAATGTTGAGGTTACGCTCACATTTCGTAGAAATATAATTACAGTGGGACAGACCTGTTAATTTATTATCTAGCACGATACCTAAAAATTTAATTTCAGTCTTTATAGGAATGTATGAGTTATCATAAAGCACCTTAATTTGTTGCGGTGATCTCATTCTTGAAAACAAAACTACACTACTCTTGGTTACAGAAAGATTAAGACCATTTGCATCTAACCACGTTTTTAACAAATCTAATGAATCAGATAATTTGGCAGAAGCAGATTCTATGGACTTCGCAATAAAATATAATAAAAGATCATCAGCATATTGTAAAATTTTGACGGATTTATCAAGGAATAATTCTAGATCGTATGTGTATATGTTAAATAAGATTGGACTGAGAACAGATCCTTGTGGAAGGCCTTTCCATACTGTTCTAGATAATTTGGTATCTTCATCTAAATTCATATATATTGTTCTTTCTGATAAAATATTAATAATGAAATTAGAAAGCATTACCGGTACATTTAGAGCTTGTAATTTAGTTTTTAAAATAGAAATTATTACATTATCATAGGCAGAATTTATATCTAAAAAGGCTGAGAGGATTGACAAATTTTGTGAGAAAGCTATATGAATATCTGAAATAAGAATGCTCACATTATCTAAGGTGCTCTTACCTTTCCTAAAACCAAACTGGTTCGGGGATAGTAAGTTATTACTTTCTAAAAACCATTCTAGACGGTTTTTCACTAAATGTTCAGCTAGCTTTAGTAAGACAGAGGAAAGTGCAACAGGACGGTATGAAGATGGTTCAGAAGGTGGTTTATGAGGCTTTAGAAATGGTATAATAATCTGAGACTTCCATGAAGTAGGTATATTTCCCGAAATAATTATGGAATTAATTATATTTAAAAAGTAAATTAATGTCGCATCGCTAGCATTTTTAAAAAAGGAATACGGTATACCGTCTTCTCCCGGTGCAGAGTCTTTAATAGAAGCTAGAACACCTTTAAGTTCTACTAGAGTAAAAGGAGAGTCAAGTTCGAATAATTCGTCAGAGACGGATAGAGAAATATTGTAAAGGCATTCCGGCACATAACTAGGAGCAAGACGATCTAAAAATTTATTCGCTAAAGTTAAATCGAGTGCAGAACGTGATGTATGATCACTAAAGGCAGATCTGAATCTTTTAATATTATTCCAAACGACTGATGAATTAACTTCTGGACAGATAGAAGAACAAAATCTTCTCCAGCCTTCTAATTTCTTTTTTTTCAGTAGTTTTCGAGTAGAACGTGAAACTGCGGTGTAAATTTCAAAATTTTCTGGTGTCATGTAATTATTATAATTTTTTTCAGCCTCTTTACGATTTTTAATTGCTTCCTTACAATCTTTGTCCCACCAAGGTGGCGAGGGAATTTTCCCTGAAGCACTATTTTTAACAGGAAATAATAAATCAGCAACCTCCTTCATATTTATCATCAAGTCATTACAACATTGATGTTCATTTCCATGGTAAACAATAGGTAACTCCGATATTTTATTATCTAAATATTGTTTGTAAATATTCCAGTCTACATTTGATAAATTATATTTAAGCCGAGGACCACTCTTTCGACTTGAGGGAATGGAAATTGGAAAAGAAAGAATGAGGGGAAAGTGATCGCTTCCGAAAGTAGAGGAATGAGGATACCACGACAGTGAAGAAGCTAAATCAGAAGAACATATTGAAATGTCAGGAGCACTAAACCCTTCATTCGGTGCAGTTCTACGTGTTGGTACATCTGAGTTAATAATACATAAGTTGTAAGTGTCAATTATCGTCAGGAGTTTTCCACCATAAAAATTAGAAGTAGAACTGCCCCACGATTGGTGTTGAGCATTAAAATCGCCCATTACGAGAAAAGGTTTAGGTAAAATTGAAAATAATTGTTCTAGTTGTGAATATATTTGGCATGTAGGATCAGGAATATATAAAGTAACAAAACAGATACCATTTATAATTATAGCAGCTGCATTAATGCCGCTATATACAGGAAGCGAAAAAGAAGAAAAAGGAAGGGAGTTTTTGACCAATATGGCAACACCGCCATATCCGTCAGCTCTATCATCACGGAGACTTGTAAAGCCTGAAATCCTAAAAGGATATCCTGGCTTTAACCAAGTCTCTTGGAGAGCTATTATAAAAGGATTATATTTATTAATCAAATAAAATAAGTCTGATTTCTTGTTTGTTATGCTACGACAGTTCCACTGAATTATTAGGACTTTGTAATCCATTGTGAGAAGTTAATAATTGAGAAAATACATTGTAAATGGCATCGTTGGACGGTGGTAAAGTTGTTTGTATCATTTTCGATTGCGATAACACTTTAATAAGCATGAGAATAATATCAAAGATGGATTGATTATTGTCAATATTATTTGATGATAATGCACAACCATTAGAGGGAGCAGGAATATTATATTCCTTAACTATGGCTTCATGGGCAGAACGATCATATCCTTGTTGTGCTTTTTGAGGAGAGCGTGGTTTAAGTGTAACTGTTTTTTTATGTGATGATTGAATATGTGGTAATGATGATTTCTCTTTGAGGAAAGAAGATTGAAAATGAGATTTATTGGACGGAGATGATGATGTTAATACATCTGAATATAGTTTAGAAGTGGGAGGATGAAATTTTGATGCTTCAGCATAAGAAACACAACTGTGGGCCATTGTTTCTTTAATGGCTTTCTGACGTGCATATTCAGGACATTTCTTACTAATTGCTGAATGAGAACCATTACACAAGATACAAGAAACATTTTCCTCATCTACTTCACATTTATCACCTGTATGATTTTGCCTGCATTTATAACACCGAGGATTTGAACGACACTGCATCTTGACATGTCCGAACCTACAGCAGTTATAGCATTGGATAGTGGGGTAAATGTACAAATCTACAGTTAATGATGTGTAAAACATAAATACTCTTTTTGGTAATATTTGTCCATCAAAAGTAATAACAATGGTTTCAGTATTAATAAAACTTGGTTGTCCTTCATTAATGGTCTTTTTCTTAATTCTTCTGGTTTTTAGAATTCTCCCACAACCTATAGGTACTGATATATTTTGGATTACTTCCTCTTCTGTCCAATCTTTAGGAATACCCCTCACAATTCCCATACGGGTTACATGGAAAGAAGGTATAAATGCCTTAAAATTATGTGTTTCTAAGTGACTATTATTTAAAAATGCATTTGCATTTTCAAAATTTGAGAAAGAAAGCGATAAACGGTTTCTTCCTATTNTTTTGAGGCTACCATTCACTATATTATTTATCTTATTAGTGTGTAAAAAGCGACCAAATGCAATAGGATGTAATGTAGTGTTATCATTAGGATGTGTTTCATTTTTTTGTACATGAACGACATAAGGAGCTACATCCTCGGCATTGTACAAAGTTCTGCTTAAAGTACTAGGTGGAGAAGCAGGTTTAACAGACTCGGTATTATTTACAACTGGTATTGATACTAGAGTTTGATTCTCATCCTCAATACATTGACAATCACTATCTTTAATTTTAGATTCGAGACCTTTGGTGTGCCTCCTTCGTTTTTTATTGCAATGTTTGCAAATGCGACGTTCGCCACGTACTCGCTTACGTTTAGAACTTGCAACGCTAGAACCATCTGTGTCCATACTAGATTCACCCAATATATCAAAACTATTATTAAATGGGATAGTTATATTTGCAGACACCTGGGGGTTGTCCCCCCAGGGTCTATAGGTGGATCCATAATGTCTAATTAATATAGGTAATTTACTTACCAATATTTACAGCAACAAACACTATTACTACAAAATATACAATTATATATACAATCTAATACACAATATATAAATAAAACTAATCCTTATATAATTAAAAATAAAATTAATTTAAAGAAGATCAAAAAACACTCCCGCTTTTTTAAACGTTTCCCGCGCTTTTTCATAACCATATTCAAACGTCACCTTACATACCAGTCAATTAGCAGGTGGTGATGGCGCTGATGTCGCTATCAAGAAGTGAATTAATTCTCTTTTTGTAGCTTAAATTGAATAATAGGTTATGTAATTTATTATTAAGAAAAAATAAATTTATAAATTATAATCTTTTATATTACGCAATTAAACTTAATACGAGTATATTAATAAATTGTCCCCATATGCCATTAGTTCCAATTTTGAACACCGGAAAAAAAAACATAACCTTTAACTAACCTAACTATATGTTTATTATGTTAATGTCTACATAGTTGATAAATGTTATCAAATAATAATAATAATTGACTATTCATTTATCATTGAGCGAATGCGACGTGTGTGTATACATACATATCGTTGGGTGCTGCCGTGATAATTTGTTTATAGGACCTATTGTGAATCAATCAAAATGTCTCTATCGAAGCCTATTATGAAATTATTGTCATCTTATTTCCAGAATCTATATTTACATCCCATTAGAACAAAATCTATAACAAGGTAAGTACTGTTTTATATTATACTTCTTAGTTTTATTTCCCCAAGAAAAACTTGACAATATAAAGTATCAAGTCACTGCTGATAGGGTTGTTTACTTAAAGTTATTTATAATTGCTTCAACTCAATCTATACATATACTGAATTATTAAAATTGTATGTTATTCATACTTACACTATTAAGTCTGTAAAAATTACTTCGAAAATTTTTCGTAATGTTTTGTATTTAATAATTAGTAAAAACAAATATTGGGCTTCCATTGACCTAAATATCTAAATAGGTGAAATTTGCAACCTATTTTAATAGTTATTAATTCGACTATATATGTATATATTTGTTTATAGGATATTTTCGTCAATATTTGTACTTTTAAACCGATTTTGTTGTTGTTGTTATTTCCACACACCCAATGTTTTTAAAATTCATGTCTACTTTTTTAGAAAAAATAGGTCAGTGGATATCCTTAATATCTTAAATTATTGATACTTAATATCAGGATCGATCGAATTATATTTATTTTCAAATCCTGTTATAAACGACAGTTTGATAATGGTATAAGTTATTACTATTCGACTGCGAATATTTACGTAATTAGATATTATTGACCTTTTGAATCGGTGCATAGTAAGTTCATACTGTCTGTTCAAAAATTAATAGGTAGTTAAAGAAAACATCTTGTATCTATTGACGCTACTATATATAATGTACTTCGGACTTGTTTCGATTTTATTCGCGATTGATAAAGTTATATTTGTTGAAATCGTTATTATAGATAACAATTTAGCATATAATTAGGTACTTACCTACATTTTTATTCGTAAGCAGTGGTTCAAACATTAAAATGTAGTACTTCATATAAATATATCGAAGTGCTTGTTGTTTAAAAAAAATACGTAAAAGTGATTTGTTTATCTGTTACTTCACCTCATCTTACTTTTATAAGATTATTTATGATTAATATGGATTTATGGAGAAAGTCATGGGCTTCAATTTATACCGACCAATCAACATATCTTGGTCACACAAATGCAGTTGCAGGCAATGTCTAGTAAAATAAAAGCTGGTGCTTTAGCAATACAGCAAATATTATGTGATATTAATACAAGTATTATAATTATATATAATGAAATTTAGATTTTGAAACCATTTATTTTTCTATCTATTTAGGCTAAATGTTAAAAAAAAAAACCCTTTACTGATATCGAAAGTGTGTCACTAGTTTATTTTTATAAATTGATCGATATGATCATTTATATACCTTACCTATAATTTATAAGTGTTTATACACTGTTTTGTATTTATTATAAGTAATATGCATTCGTGCATACACTTATATTCTTTCATACCTTCATATTCGAATCTCATAACATTTCGCAATGGTATCTTCATGGTGATAATACGGATTATGACTCAAATCAGTCATGCTATGCTCTCAAAACAAAGAAGCTTTTGAAATTCCTAAAAAAAAGTAACCAGAATTATTCTTATATCGCCGCCTACAACGACCATAGTCATCAATAGAAGTTATTTATTATGTGAAGGTTTATTAAGAGCTAATTGCCTCTAGCGTCAGAGGCTCTGGTTAAGTCTACTCTTCTTTATTGGATGAAAATGGAATGGTAACCCCGCCTGCGCTAATGGGATACACTGGCGGGGTACCAGTGAAGGGTGATCGATGAGGATGAAAACAGGCCAGTTAGCCCATCATGATGAATTCATCTGGAATTAATCATGACAGTTTCCAGGGGGAACCGCGAGGAGGTCGACCTGGTTGGGTATATTGCTAGCAATGGGATTCTTAGTCTCCATTACTAATAATCCCTTTCCCCCCAAGTCTACTCTTCAGGCTACAATACTGGAGCAGCAAAAAATTGTTCGTTCACTTCTTGCTGCTTCAGATCAAAATTAATTACCTAACTATTCACTATACAAAACTTAATAATTAAGTTAACACTCACTATACCAAATATCCAAATCTATTGAGGCGTTTCAGCGTAATTACCATACAAGTGCATCCATTTGGCCAAGTAAAGTATTATTTAGACGGCCCCATATCCGATGTGAGAACTTATTGTATTATATGAATGTATTGCAGCTGCGTGGTGGGTGTAACAGGCAGTGTAGCATCACAGTTACTGGATGGCGGCCGAATTAGGCTAGATCCCGTTTTGGCTTTTGGACTTTATGGGTAAGCTATTATACGTGCACATCAATAGTTCATTACAATTACCTAGTACTAAATAGTAACACATCAGGAAATTTATTTACCATATAGACAATGTTACGTCACCAGTGATTAGTTGCCATGTAGCCATGTAAGATTGGTGATAAATGATACAATAATAATATTAAAAATGGATAATTTGCGTTTCAACTCGGAAGTTATTCATGTAACTTGTATATTTTCCATTCAACTTTACAATTAATATATTTAAATTTGCCCTTAGATATTGGTAGATGTTACCTAGGTGTAATCTTAACACCTAGGTGTTTGCCGAGCTTAATAATTAGCTATATTTAGCTAGTGTTTCTTCAAGGATTAAAATTTTTTATTGTTTACACTAACTAGAGGTCTAAATTCAACAATTGCACTTTTTTGATCAAATACATTTTTTTAATTTCCAGATTATTATTTGGTGGATCTATTCCTCATTTCTTTTATGGAGCACTGGAGGGACTGTTTCCGGAAGATGTAGTCGCATTCCCAATAGCAAAGCAACTGTTATTCGAAAGATTACTGTTTGCTCCCTTCATGCAAGCGTTCTCCCTGTACACGTTAGCCAGATTTGAAGGCAAAAACCATGCAGCGGCATTGAAACAATTGCAAGTTTTATATTGGCCTATTTTACAAGCAAATTGGAGATGGTTAACTATATTCCAAGTAATCAATTTGGCCTTTGTGCCTTCGATGGTAAGTAGACTTTCTATAATGTTAACTTTATATATTTGTAATAAAATACTGACTAAATATTTTACCTTTGAATAGAACACTTAATACCTCCTAACAATTTACTTTCATTTTCCTTTTCAGTTACGGGTACTCTTCATGAATTTAGTTGGACTGGGTTGGTGCATATTTTTAGCAACAAAAAGACGTCAGCAATCTCAGAAAAAAGAATAAGCATGATCAGAATTGGTCATTTACAACAGGGTGGTGGATGTGAATAATTTCAATTACTATCATAGGGACTGGAAACCTTGTCATAATCACTTGCTTACGATACAGCGGTATCTTTCCATCCACTGTATCATATACTATCTCGTTATCGAATTGTTAATTTGATATAATTAATCGAAAGCATTTGATAGAAAAAAAAGTCCATAAACGTCCAAAAGTAGGCCTTTTAGAAGATGCTCAAACAACGAAATCACATCACTGATTTTGTATAAAAAATAAGTATAAATAAGTAGGTACTGGGATTCTTACTTTAAATAAATGCATAGTTGTCATGCAAATTTTAGAATAAAACATTCCTCAACTATGTTAATCGCTTACTATTTCTGCATTTGTAGAAGATAAATATATTTTTGTAAGACTAATATAGGTGTAAATAAGAATGATGCAATTCTTTTTATATTAATTTATTTGACAACAGCAATTGAATCCATTAAATCGTTAGATATTTTGTCTAATATATTCTGTGTAATCGTCTAAGTATATGCTGTTATTATCAAATCGAATCAATTCTTTCGTTTAGCGGTGCAAGATATTTGTTATATTTACAAAGTTTTAGGGAAATCAATCTCCAAAATACTGGTTGACAATAACCGAATAAAATTATAAATTAATAAGTCGGAATTGTTCCACGTGGGTGTATGTAGCATAGATATATCGCATGATTTTTTTACAAGTTATAAAAAATATGGGTATGAGGATCGAGATGATTTCCCTTTAAACTGTATAAATATATATATATGTATAAATGTTGATACATTTACAATTTATACATTACGATAATTTTATAATAAATATTGTTGTCGTTACAAGAGTTTGTTTTATTATCGAATTCATCTTTCACGTTTCATTTATTGCTTAATAAATAGTAATAGTAGATCAGTTGTTTAAATTTTATTATACACAATATTTCGACTAGTCTTTATCACTAATAACTATCGTTTTAATATCAATAACAATATCTTAATTTAATATAAAATAAATAAGTTACTGTGACTAGAGAATTAAAATATTTAAATAAATTAGTGTAAATACCTGCAGTTGTCAATAAATATATTGCACTATACTCTAAAACGTCGGTACTTAATGACTATTAATGTAAAGTACATCTGGTACTAATGAGTTATGTACCATTTACAAAAAAAAAAAAAAAAATTATACAAATAATATTATCAACAACATAACTTTTAACAAAAAAAAAAAGAGTATAAATATGAGATCAGAAATAAAAATAATTAATTTTGGAATGAATGATCGCAGTTTGTAAAACTTTTGACTAGATATAAAAAACCTAGAGACTACACATTTGATATTTAAATCGCGTATTTTTTTTTATAAGAACGCAAAAATAATATATTCACCTTAAACATCTATAAATTATCGTCTGTAAACATCACTCAGCAATATAAATATGTTTATTACACATATTTTATCAGTCAATATGATCATGTATTGCGTTGTACTAGTATATTACGTGCGCTCATATCGTGTCTTTACGATTTTCTACTTTCAGTATTCAAACTTTTTAGTTAATAAATAAATGACTAGAATAAATATAATGAATATTAAGTAATCAATAAATAATATCAATTTGAACGTGTATATATATCACTGCAATAATGCACCATAGAACTTATACTTGTCTAATTACGATTATCATTTGAACTGAAACTGTTAAACATCTCGTAAACGGTTTGTTCTACAGAAATTGAAAGCTTACGGCTCGCTGTTTGTTCCCTTGAAATGAACTAGATGAGACTCATATGGCATTTCCAAGAATTACCACCAAATAAGAATAGTAGGATAATTTTAAGCTTTACTAACAAGAAAATTAAAAACAATGTGAAAATATGAAACAAAATAGTAGAATGATTATTTTAGTAAAACTGCTATGTTGCGTACATTAGTAATAATTAGTTAAATTAGTAGATAAAGTGGGGAAAATACTACCCTACTATTCTTACCAGTAGTATAATTAGTAATTCTGGAAAAATCCCGATTATCTAATATTTCCTATTTTTGCTAATACGGTAATTTGTTCCAAATTGCTATTAGTCGTGCTCAGCTTGCGGCGGTGATCTGGACCAGCTTCTTTGCGAGGATCTACTGCTGTAGTAACTGCCGCTGGTCGGCGTCGACGGGGTCGGCCTCCGGTACGGTATCGGACGCTTTCGGGCGCTGTTAGTGTTAGTAAGCATTTATGATTGTTAGTCATGTTATTAGGTGATTAGTGCAACCATGCATGCTCATGCGTGATAAGCGAAATTGTAATAAAAATTTAAATTTGTTTAAACATTTAATGAAATTTACATGTTTTTAATGGAATATTTTGAAACAAATGAGTTCATTATTGTAATGTTGGTATAAATTGAAGCATTTGTAATAAATTAAATCACTTACCTTAATTTTTATTGAACTGATATAAGAAAATAAAAAAAAATATGAATATTATGTTGCCATAAATTTATCAACAATCTACGTCTAGACATAGATTATATATTTTATTTATGGAAGTAAAATATATAGTCTCTGATCAGAGCATAACAAAAGTACTAGCTGCAGCTACCATGCGGCGAAACAAAAAAAAAAAAAAAAACAACAATTTTCAAAATAAAATTTAATAATAATAATATAATAAATCAAACGGATTATAAATGAAACGGGAAACAAACATGTCCTTTAAGCACACTAGCACATGTCTACATTGGATCGACGACGCCTCCCAACATCTCTTATTCACTGCAAATAACATCCCATCTATCTTCTTCTATACTTGTATTTATTGGGCGGATAAGTAAGATCTATTATGGGTGCGCTACGGAGGAAAAAACAATAGGTAAATTAATGTGAACTTACTTCTAATTATTCAGTTTAATACTGACTGATATTATATTTATTATCTAACTTTATATAAAAAAAAAACAATATTTTAATATTTATGTGTAGCAGTCTTAGAATAATAATTACAAGCATTGAAAATAGGACTTCATATTTGATGCTATACACACGGTATATCATCAGAGAATATGTAAGAATATGATAATACCTAAAACACTATATATGTGTATATATTATAATAGCACACCCATGTTAGCACATCAAAATATTAACCGATTATGTTAGATTCGCAAACACTCAGATTAATTCAAACATTAAAAGACACCGACTGATAACACTACGAATATTATATTTATTTCACAGCCAACGTCAACATCTTTTATATCGAAATAAATGTATTGGATAGTGAATAATATATCAATAGTGAATAAGAACACTCGTTGAAATATAATAATGGGAATTATAATAAAAATTTACGACTTATAATAAGCAATACACAATATAACTTAAGCTAAATTATCGCACAATCACTGCACACTAATCGGAGCTACTACTTGTGTCTTCTGAACTCGTGCTATACTTTCGTGACTTTTTTCTATAAAGAAAGAAAAATAAAACAGATAGTAATGGGCCAGAAATAAAAAAAAAAAAAAAACAAAATATGCCACGTCACGATAATAGTATATCGGGTGGAGGTATTTGCCGAAAATAATTGTTTATTATAATAATACATTTGAAATATTTTTATGTACCGTGACGTAGCATAGACGCAAAATAAAATATCGAAAGCACAACCGTGAAATTAAAATATATGAAGCGCCACACAACAATAGGTTAACATCTAGCATAGTTTTAATGACATCTGTTTATTCTTATGTTTGGATATATGTTTTTTTTTTTAAATAATCACTAGTGAAACTGCATTTCAGCTATTAATATTACAACATACAAATGTCATTAATACAATACAATGTCATAAAAAAAAAAACATTCCCTAAGTTAGTTTCACACAATAACAATGCTTTTGGTAATATTTATATGTTATAAGTAGATTTAGAGAATTACTTTGGTTTCAATATCAATCTACTGGCATTATTTTCGAAGTATTGTGACCTATTGTTTGGATTTTCCTCATAACACTAAAATTATCTTTCATTTACAATTTATTTTTCATTTACATTATCTTTCATTTACAAAATTACGCGTAGTTCTTAAATGTTAATGTTATTAAATAAATGGATTAATTTTAAAACAGAAAATCTTAGACTGTTAAATATTACCATCTAACAAATAGATCAGATATAGTGGCAATAATTTATCACAAGAAATAGTATAAAGTTGGGATTTTTTTTTCTATTAATAATAGGAAACTTAATAATGTTTCTAAAAATGTATCTAAAAATCTTATATAGAGATTAAGTTATTTAGTTATCAAGTTATTGAGGTAAATATAAATCCGTATATTTAGAAATTTTAAATAACTCAAAAATCGTGCTCTGTCTAATCAGAAGTTGACACTGAATTGCTTAAAAGAAGTAAAGTCCAACATCATATTATAAATTACTACTTGATTCTATATTATAAATATTTTAAAATACATATCCTGCATTACTGAAACTATCCAATAAAGCAGCGTATTTATTTTAAAACATAATATAATATAATATTTATTTAAGAAAGATACAGTTGCATAAGGTACAATTTTCAATTTTTACAATTTATATTAAACGAGGAAATATCTGCATTACCATCAGTCCCCAAACTAGGCCAGGTCTGTATCTTGGGGACTAGACTTACTTAGAGAACTTTCAAAGTCTGATAAGGGCACTGAATAAAATTTCGACGCTGTAATACCAAAAGCATTGTGTGGTAGTGTCGTGGGAGGGACGCTGTGTGTGTGTGTGTGCGTGTACAGTGCACGTCCGGGCGCGTGTACCTCGTGATGCGCCGCCGGTCCAAGAAACTGGGCGAGCCGGCGCGCCGCGGGATGGACGGCGAGCGCGAGCGGCTGCGTGCCGCCGACGGGCTCGATCTACGGTAATCGGCGTACACGCCCGTCATTGTTCTGATCGTCAGTGCGGTACGCGGTACGTATGTCGCATGCATGCATCGTATCATCGATATCGAGTTCATTAGCGGAAAGAGAATTGAAAACTTGTATTAATTATTGCGGTCGCTGTCGTATTTAGGTGTTAATACGGGTGAGCCCTTTCGATCTGTAACTGTACGACCAAAATGTGAATAGTACTGATTTCGCCATATTGTGACGTTAACAGTTCAAATGTAAGACAAATAATTTAGAAAAAAAACTGTTACGCAATGCAAAATAAATATTCTTGTGAACTTAATTTATTTTGCATTCGTTGATCAGTTGATTGTTCACGCTTTTATTATTTCAGTAGCGCTGTACTTAAACTCCTCTTATTCATAAAAATAACCTATTTAAGCTATTGAACTATTTCGTCTCTTTCTTTTACACTAAACTCTCAATTTGGAAGAACGTGACAAAATAATATAATAGCTAAAGCAGACTTGTTTTTTTTTTTTTTTTATTAGTTTTTATGAATAAGGCAGTAAGAGTACATGTTCATAATAAAAAAAGAAAAATAATGGAAATGTCGAAAAAGCTCACGTAACTTGTCAGTTATAAGATACCACATTCATAAAGTGTATCGGTTACCTCGACGAGCGCGTGGACCTGGAGGAACTGCGCGAGGACCGCGACGAGCTGCGACTGCTGTACGAGCTGGAGCGACTAGAACGAGAACGCCTGCAATTTATAAAACAGCCGTTTTACAATTATTGCGCAGTAATACTACAAAGCACACTACGAAATTGAACATGAAATACTAGATGTCACTGGAATCGCGACTTTTTTTATTATTTTGTAATTAAAGAAAATATGAAGAAAAGAATCTAAATTGACAAGTAATTAATATATAATAAAAAATATTTATTTATTTCTGACCAAAAACTTCTAACTTTGAAAACGACTGGTTTCCATTTAACCGTTCAATCTTTATTTTACGCTTTTAGGGATTTCCAAAAACCCTTCCTCAGTGGATGTTCCTATAATAAAATGCATCAACTACCAAAATTTCAGCTTTATAACCCTTGTGGTTTAGGTCGTGTGTTGATGAATTAGTCAGGATAAACGATTTTATAATTATATAGATAGTAAAAAATAATTAATATAATAATTAATAAAAATGAAACTGAAAAAATGTAAATTCAATGGTTAATATTTGATCATGCCATTTGATGTGACGAAACATAATGGACATCTTGTAAACTTGACAAATGCAATATTTACAATGTTTCTGGCAAATAAATTTAATTTCTAATTACAATTGCCAATCTGCCTGCTGCTTCTACCTCTTATGGGGAATGCTTATATTTAGTAATGTATTGTTAACGACTGAAATAATAATACTATAATAAATATAGTACTAAATACCAGAGGGAGACTTTGTACAAAAGTCGATTGCTTGGGTACTTCTGTCCTATTCGTGTTTAAACCGTGAAACAGTTGTGTTTGCATGGCTGTATTTCGGTTTGAAGGGTGAGATATGGCGTGAATTTACTGGGTACAGAGGAGTAACACCTGAATCCTCAGGAATGGCAACGCATGGGGGTATCATGGGCGAAACAGTATACTCTGTTATGTCCATGGTACTGCTCATGTCTATAGATGACGGTTACCACTTTCCATCAGGTGGGCCGTCAGCTTGTTTGCCATTCTAAGTTGTATAAAAAGAAAAAAATTACCTGGACGAGGAGTAGGAGCGCGACCTCGAACGGGACGAGCGGGAGCGTGAGCGGGAGACAGACCGCGAACGGGACTTGGAGCGCGAACGTGGCGAGCGAGCCGAGCGAGCCGAGCGGGCCGAACGAGCCGAACGAGACGAGCGTCGCGAACGCGACCACGAGCGTGACCAGCTGCGCCGGGAAGCGCTCCTGTCGTGCCGTTTCGCGTCGGGCGAGTTCTCCGCTACCTTGGGACTTTTCTCTTTTTTAGGACTAGCCGGCGCCGGACTGGCTTTCTTCTCGACGACCACCGGAGACTTCTCCTTTTCTGTCCCTGAACAGATTTTGTCTTTCGACTTGTCGTCGTCCGGTTTCGACTCATCCCGGCCGGCGTGGGACGTCGACGGCCCGTTCGTCTCCTCGATCCACCGCTTCGACGCTTTTGCCATCATGGCCATTTTTTCTTTCAATCTATTCAGCTCCTCGATGTCGAGCTCATCCTGGCGAGCTCGCTCGTCCACCCTGAGGTAGTCGTCCGCGGAGTCGTCGTTCTCGCTCGAGGAGCTTCTCAGGCAGACTGCCATCGGCTTATAATTCTCTACTAACTCCTTACTTTTCTTTTTCTTTGGTTGCAAGTCAGACGGTGATTTTATGTATTTACGTTTATCTTTTTCTGGTAGCTTCTCTATGATGTCGCGGTAGCGCTCGGGGCTCCGCCGCGCCGGGGAGTAACTGAGACTAGACGTACTTCTGCTTTTTCGCGCAGAGCGAGATCGCGACTTGTCTCTGTGAGAATCGCGACGCTCATGTTTGCGGTTTTTATCATGTTTGAGATCACCCTTAGGTGTGGACATACGGCGATCAGACTTTTTACTCTTTAAATTATTTGGTGGATTATCACCCAATTTATTCTTCTTTGAACTTTTACGATCTGGAGAAAGAGATTCGGACTTAGATAGGGATCTTTTACGCTTTCCTCTTACATCGGGTGATGGCGACTTTCTTCTTGAGCGGCTTCGTTCCCGTCTGTTATCTGTGTTTTTGTTTGTTTTATATTTATCAGATTTGTTTTTGGAAGGTGGTGATTCCTTTCTTTTTCGACCTTGTTGTTCTGAGGGGCTCTGTCTCCGCTGTTCTCTAGGAAGCGGAGATATACTTTTCTCTTTATGGTGACGAGCCTTGTTTTTCGAACTTTTATCTGTCGCGTATTTAGAAGGTCTTTCAGATTCTGAATCTGATGTTGACGGCTTTCTTTCTGATTTAGAATTTTTAGAACACCGTTCTATTTCTCGACGAGATTCCCTATTTTTATATGTCTTATTTACTGGAGATCGGTCTTTATATTCGGGTGACGTGTCCCGCTTATCCCTTGAAGGGCTTCTATTTTTCCTGCGCCTGGGTGGTTCATCGTAACTTTCTCTCTCTTTGTCCCGGCGCTTTAACGATTCTTCTTCATATCGATCGTGATTACTTTTTTTACTCTTTTCATACTTTTCTTCTTTTTGATTCCTGTAATAATCTTCCTGTCTCCTCTTCCTGTAATCAGGAGATTCACTTCTTTTTTGCATTCTCAAATCTTCCCGCGGCGAACTCTCTTTTCGATTTCTACCTGTGTCTTTCTTGTTGTAATAGCTTTCTCTGATCGGACTATCGGCTCTTCTCCTATCAGGCGTGGGGCTTTTGCGCCGCTTCTTTTCGGGTGGTGGAGATGAACTAGTGTCCCTGTTATGTTGTCTTTTGTCTCTTTTTTCTGCTTTACGCTTGGGTGGCGGTTCTTCAGAATCCGATTCGGGAGAGGAGTGACGGCCGTGTTTGGAGTGCCGCGTCGTTTTTGGTCTTCCACTTTCTCTAGACGGTTCCCTTTGTGTTCTATTTTCTACTTTGGTAATATATGATCTATGCCGGTATTCGGGTGAAGGTTCACGTTCATCCCTCGAGGTGCTACGATCGTCCCGCCTCTTGCTAGACTCCTGTCGAGAATTCCTGTTGGCAGTTTCATCTCTTTTGTCATATCTTTTTCTTTCCCCACGCTCCTTATCCTTTTTCCTGTTTTGTACATCGTCCTGTCTGCTCTCACTCCTACGTTCTCGTGGTTTCTCTTTACTGTATTTAACTGGAGAGCTAGAAATATAAAATAAAAATAAATAAATATTTACATCTACAATTTCTGATAGAGTAGTTAGGGGTTTGTCAATGTTGCCGTAATAAAAAAAAATAATAATTACGATAATATACAACTACCACATAAAAGTTAAAGTTACTGTAAAAATTATAGTTAATATTTAAACAAACACGGCAATAAATATCATATAACAGTTGCAATATCATAAATGTTCTTTTTGTAATGTTTATGCAGGTGATGAAACAATAATAAATTTGCCAGGAGATAAATTACCTCGTTTGTTTGCCTAAAACTTTCAATTTAGCTATGTGCGTAATAGGATAATAAACTTCATTTGTTTTCAACAATTCTATTTACGAACATTTGGCCTCATTTCTTTCACGTATTCTAGCTACAGCCATAAAAATCGACATCTTTTACAGGGTGATAAAATAGTTTATTACATTTTACGTTTTAATATTCAACATGTCATGCAATAGTTATTGTTTTTATTTTTTACAGGTAACTCTAATAAACGTGACTGAATAAAACTGCTATACTGAAACTTTAATTATGTAGTAAAATGAAAATTAACGCACCTCTCACGACTCGACGCCTCACTACTGCCACGACGCCGGCTACTCGATTTTTTCTGTTTAAAATTCAACAAAAACTATAAAAATCACATTTCACGAGAAATAATATGAAACACCAGTGCCAATACAAGAAGACTATAGTGGTAAAGGCAACTAAAATATATGTATTACTAAAAATACAAGAAATTCTTCAGAGCCTTTTTATATACATATATATGCTTTATACGCAATTAACCTTTTAAAAAAGGGATGAAGAATTTCAATAGAAAAAAAATAAAATACCACTTTACACATGCAATCTAATAAGGAACCATTTAGAACATAATATAGGCATTAAATTAATTAAAACTTTATATGAGAAAATTAAAAAATAAATACTTTTAAGCTATTGATGGAAGCAAGTATAAATAAAGGATTAATAACTGGAAATTTTCATTTTATTATATAGAATGTTATCAGAGTCTATCCATAACATTCTCATGTAAATTAGGAATACAATTAAATATAAATAATACATGTATTGTAAACAAAGTTACAACAATTGTTTTTGGCACCAGTGTGTGTCACTTAAAGTACGTAATACTATGTTAGTAACACATTACAATAACAATATTCTCAAATTAAGTATATAAATAAACGTAATACACAAAAATCAAATGTAATACACTGGGGGAACGTACCTTATTTAACAAACGGTGGTGGTATTGTATACCATTTAAACATGTGGAGCATCCTTAATTAGTTTTGGGTAAATGAGAAGAGGGAGAATGTTATGGATTAGTTACATTTGAACATTCAATTATCTCGTTTTATAAGATGTGCCATACAAAAACGTGGCTTGTGACCTGAATTGTATAGAATTCTAAATTTAATAAAGCAATTTAATAAATGCAAAAATTGTGTGAGCAATTCCGCTATACTACAACGTTAGTATAGAAGATGGCTTAGTAACATGTTGGGCACGTTTTTCTAACACACATCTGAGTAATCGCGTCATTCGGACATATTAACCACCATCTGTTTTAAGGACTACAAACACCATGCATGTAAATAACTGTGCACACGTATCCCCATAACCGCCCGCTGTCTCTAGTCATCAAACATGTTAATCACAATGTCATACTTCAAAATGCATTACCAAATTCTCACGTTGAACGTTATTTTAGTATTCACCTAACATAGTGTCTTACTGAGTGTTATTGTTTTGTGATATACTTACAGTATACGTTATTTCTTCAGATAAAGATGGCTATCCTATGAAATGATGCACAGTTAAAGAGATAATTTTTACTGGCTATTTCTTGTATTTACAGAAAAATAAAAAAAATAAAATTAAAATAAGGAGACAAGAACCACATTATTACATTGGACTGTTTCGCCCCCGGATGGTAAATTGATTGATTATATCAAGTGTAAATGTGTGGGGAGATTCAGCTATAAAGATTGAAAGCTGAGGATTGGACATTCTACAGAGAGCATGGCAAAACGAGCTGGGTGGTGCCCACGTTAGTCACAGCTGGTCGTCTGATGCAAGATGAGGACAGAGGGTTGTGTAGAATTCAAAAAAACTCATGAGAATCGTGAACGTGGAGAATGCTAAGATAATGGAAATTACTAACACATCAGGATCGTTATCAGATAGGTGTCTCGGGTATTCATGTGAAACAAAGGAAGCACAGTGCCATATCAGCTAACAGTCCCGCAACCTTCCTACAAAGGGCTTCAGATTGAGTAAAGGTAGTGAACAGTTGAGTGTTGGCATGATAGAACAATCCCATAATACTACATGTAACATGTGTATATATAATCATATTTTATATTATATTGTAGTCCCCAAAAACCCATGAAATTATTAACCATTACGTTAAAATATTTTAATTCAAAGATTATATTTCAATATAGTCCGAAAAAAAAAATGTTAACTTACATAAAAAAAAAAAAAAAAAAAACAAATATTTACAAGATATCATAGTGAAATATATATAAAAGACGCTAAATATAATCTTTGAACTACACATAACCTACTCGGTCTAAAGATTCAGAAGCTAATTGTCATGAACAAGTTAACATAGAGTCGAAGGTTAAGAGGAAATCAAATAACAATTACCTTTTTCTTCTTTTTCTGCTTCTCATCTTCGGAGCTGCCGGAATCGCTGTCCTGGGCCGCTTCGGAACTACTCGAGCTGTCCGTATCCGGTGATTTGGAACGCTTTTTCTTCTTCTTGTTTGATTCTTGTCTGAACAAAAAGAAATAAGTAAGTGACATAAAGAAAACAATATAAGAAACAAACATCGAAAGGAAAATAATGCAGTATAGAAGCACCAGATATGAATCACAATTTTCAAGGTCATACAAAATGAAGCACACCTATTGAAACTGTAAAGACAGTTGCACACTATTAATTATGTAAAACAATTGCATACAACCTTTTGTTCGTAGCAATACTTAATTTAATTTCATACTAATTTATGCAAGTATAAAATTATGTTTACTATACCTACGAATGTAATCCCATAACAATTTTCTTTCGCTGTAATTATGAATAATAAAATGAGGCGTATGTTTAGCCATTATATAAGATAATGTCCAGAAAAACAAAAACATTATACTTGCCTCTTGGACAACTGAAGTGTCACCTGTCTGGATTTAAACAATAATTTGTAAAACTAGATAAATAGGTGCGTCATTAATTTGAAATTTGTTAAAATAAACCTTATATATATATAACTTGTAATACAAAACCGAACATACTTCTCTTTCTTATTCTTCTTCGACTTTTTCTTCTTTAACTTCTTAGCTTCTGGTGATGTACTGTAATATATTAAACAATTTTAAATTAAAACAACATATTATCAAAAGCAGTTACATTAAAAGTTTGTAAGTTATTGTTAATTAAAAGTTACACTTTAATCAAACAAAGCTAAAAAGTAATAATCCTTCACAATAATGAAATAAAATTAAACAGCAGCAGTCGAGAAACGAATCTCGTTAATTAGACACGCTTTAATTTCATTTGTGCTATGAAAGTAATTTGAAAGAGAAAACATTTTTTATGTTATATTAATGTTCATATTTAACCAGAGGTGGGAGACTTTATACAAAAGTCGACTGTTCGGGTCCCTCTATCAAAGTCAATGTATGCAAAGCACCTAGCATGACTGTGTTTTGATTTGAAGGGTGGAGTTTAAAGTAAAATTACTATATTACAGACACATAATCCTCAGGAGTGACAATGCATGAGGTACCATTAATCTATGACATCTACAGCGCTGCTCATGTCTTCAGACGCCAGTTACCGCTGTCCATCAGGCAGGCCATCAACTTATTGTGTGCTATAAAAAAAAGCAGGTAAAAAAAGGGACAGGTACCTTCTCTTTTTCTTCTTTTTGGTGACGTGCACATCGTGCGCCTCCCTCTCGTGGCTCGGCGTGCGAACTAGAGGGTACCGCTGGGCCTGCTCCCGCGCCCGCCGCTCCGAGTCCAGGCTGGTGCCCTCCACGAAACGAGGCGAGATACCGAACGCGTCGCGCAATCTCGCGTTTTTCTCTTGCTGCGCCTCGGCGATCGCGTGCGTTTCACGAACGCTGCAGAATGGAACGCACCCGATACAATACAGTACCATCGCAAGTACACGCCGGCGTCACTCGCTTTAATTTATAGTGATTACCGAAACAAAACATCAGACATACGACAACATAACCTTCAAGAAAAGAGCATATTCCTTTTTAAAAGGCCGGCAGCACACCTGCAATGCCGTAGGTGTTGTGGGGGACCATGGGCGGCGGTAGTCATTTACCATCAGGTGAACCGCATGCTCGTTTGCCCCCTGTGTTGTAAAAAAAAAAGTTTCATTTCATTCTGGATAAAAATTCTTTTCCTTCTAGACGTATCAAATGTACGAGGTCTGTCCGGAAAGTTCGTATAAAAGTGTTCTGGAATGCTGGGGAGGCCAGGTAAGCGCAGGACCCCTTCCTTATGTTAACAATGCTTCAGTTCTGGTCTGACCGCCGTGCGGTTCTTGTCACGCCATCTGTGAAGTTACCTCTTAACGAAACCCCGTCTGGAGCCCGCTTCCGTTGAAGAGCAGCGCGTCGTAATCAAGTTTCTCTCGAAACTCGGCAAGAATGGCCGTGAAATTTTTGCCGATCTCAGAACAGTTTATGGGGATGATGCTGTGAAGGAACCAACCGTCCACAAGTGGCTAAAAAGATTCAGAGAGGGCCGAGAAAGCGTTCAAGATGACCCACGTTCAGGACGTCCTTCCACTTCACTTTCCGACGGAAAGACTTCGAACTTGTGTTAATGGGGACCGTCGTTTAACGGTCAGACAGGTGGCTGAAGAGCTTAATTTGGGCAAAACCGTGGTTAAGAAACGAACTTCAAATGAAAAAAATTTGCGCCAAAAGTTTTTGAGTAAAAATTCCGTGTGACCGAACACCCCCCCCTATTCGCCGGATTTGGCCCCGTGTGACATGTTCCCAAAAACCAAATTGGTACTTCGGGGGCGGCATTTGGGGGACATAAATGAGATAAAAAAAGCTACGACGGGGCAGCTGAGAAACCTACAACCAGAGGACTTTCAAGGAGCCTTCTCACAGTGGAAACGGCGAGCACAAGTGCATTATGTCACAGGGGGAGTACTTTGAAGGGGATAAAATTGATTACCTGAATAATTGTAAAATAAAATTTTTAAAAAAACTTTTATACGTACTTTCCGGACAAACCTCGTATGCTATACAACTTTGTTAAAAACCTTCTTCGTTACAATAAACTCTATTTTATTTGTGCACAAATCGTGCAAACATTTACATATTCACGCGATAGAGATGATTAAATGCAATCGACACTATTTTCATGTGATATGACAACACAATAATTTAATAATAAGTATGTTTTTTTAATCTATGCACCGACATTTACTCTCTCTGTTTAGCGTAACGGTTGACTGGCAGAGAATGCCATCGGGCATTAAGTCCGCCCTCTAGACATATTTTAATGCGTGCAAAAGTATAAATAAATAAAAAATAAATGAATAACACAATATAAAAACCTAGTCATAGTGAAGCGTCAAAGAAGACTAACGAATATTTACCTTGGAAGCTTTTAAGTGCGCTAAAAATGGGGAAACATCAAATAATTTAGCAAACTGTACTAAGTTCGATCATAACAAATTTTCTATATCGATCTGGCGTCGCCTATTAAAAATCATTGTTGGCTTTGACCGAGTATGAAATCAGTTAAATTTCAATTAACACAGTTGCTTTGAGCTTGTAATTCTTAATTAAACATCGGCTGCGGTGACTAGCGCCTAACGACACACATACTAAACGTTAGCAGAAATTAATCGATAAAACTGAATGCACACCTTATAACAGATCGCATGGACTTCCTCTCCTCGTCATTGGAGAGACAGACCTGCAAATTGTCGTTAAAATTGGTGCGCTCCGGTTGCGAGCAATTGCACCGACAGCAGCATGAGTTTCTCAGGCCAGCGAGGAGAGTTCTCAGAGCGGGTTCTAGACTGTCCACCACGTGGGACGGGCCCTGCTGCATGGTCGCGGGGACCACCGACGACTCCGAGACGGGATCGTGAGAGGAGGCCCGCGCTCTCTGCTGGGGCCCCGCGAGCACCGCTTGGAATGTACCCCGCCAGAGCCGTTCGAATACGACTCGGTTATTTTGTTCGCGACGCGGCGCCCTACCCCTTTGCATCTTAATGTACGAACTTAATCTAATGGAAGACTTGGTTTCTTATAGCTAATACTTAAACTAATACATGGCGGTGTGACCGCTGGAAGACTTTGTTGAGGCGTGGGGCGTCTGATTACATTTCAGAGCGGCCGGCGGCGGGCCGGCGGCGCTACTGAGGTCTACCGATAACAGGAAACAGCGACGCGCGCAACCTGCGCAAACATCGGAAATTCGCTTGGATGCGACGCGTCCTCTCAAAGGGAATGTTCACCCTCTCCCTTTGAGGCGATATAAGCTAAATGCCACCGAACAATCGCAGCGTTTTGAACTTTATTATAACGGTAAAGTTCACCTTTGATAGAAATATTGTCGCATAAATTTGCCACCGATGTGAGACAAAGGATGACTTATCAATAATGATTGGCGTATTTTATATATATATATGCTTTATTATGGACCAACGGATGTTATTTGTTAAATGTGAATCGAATACGATTTGCCGTGCCCGCTTACGTGCTGAGGTGACGAATGTCATCGTGTGTGCAATCTGACATGAGCATTGAAAGAATAAAGATATGTATGTATGTTAAATTACAGTTATTTTAACAACCATAAACTGAATTTAGATATAATTAAAAATATTTGTAAAATCAAGTATGTAACATATATAACGCAACACACATACACACACACACACACACACACACACACACACACACACACACACACACATACACACACACACAAACACACATACACACACACACACACACACACACACACACACACACACACACACACACACATATATATATATATATACAGTGGGTAGTTATATATACATAAACATTATAAGTACATAGAAAAATTTGTTGCAATGCGCATAGAGCTTAATTTTATTACGTCAAATGACGCTACTCAAAAATTTAACAAGCCAGTATGTAATTGTATTTCTATTGACAGACTTTTCAAAATAAAGAAACTGTAACACAATTCAATTGTTATTTTAAATTTATTGGTTCTTAGAATAAAATAAAATACGTATTATATTTATACCCAGTATTTTTCTTGGCAAGACTCCCAATAGTGAAAAACTTACATAATAATTTATCAATCTGTCGATACTGTCCTCTAACAAATATAAAAAAAAAACTATTATGGGCGCCCAATTTAAAAAAAAAAGAACAATTAACTTATACAGGCATATGTGTTAATAGAATATATATGAAAGGCGACAAATATTATTTTAAGGGCCTTAAAAAAGACTGAATATGCACGATAAAGCAGGCGATCGCATGTAGGGGTTTAGTATGAAAGTTAAAAAAAAGGCAGGAAGATGGTGCACCTTCCTGGCTTTATCTCACATCATTTAAGGCAGCGTAATATTTATATTTTCTATTCGCCTCTGCAGCCATTCCAGTCAACTTTCCCTTTCTGACCTCATTTCTTTTTAAATCTTCTCTACCTTCATAATCATGTCTACGTATTTCTTTTCATATAATTCTCTCTCTCTCTCTCTTTCTCTCTCTACGCATGCTTAAAAATAATACTCATATTATATTCCATTTGTTTGACGAGTTTCCAGTTTGAAAAATCTAATCACTAGGTTTCGTTTCGGATTATTATTTCTACTCATTCGCTCTAACACACTCGTATAAGATGCTCATGTAACGTGGATGTCCACTAAGAAAGGATTTTTGAGAATTTACAAAAGGAACAGGATAAAAGGATTTCCGCGCCGGTGGATTTATCTCTAATAGGCCAGGATCCTATTATTTTATTTTTTACTTTTTCCTACGAGTTTAGATAGAATTTTGTAGACAAGTAATCTAACCTGTACTGGACTTTACCAACGTATTGTACAATCAATATATTGTACTGTTAAATCTTTATGGTCCATACTTAACATTGGACATATAAAAGATTTAATATACAGTGGCACACTTATCCCATAGATGGAATTCTAACAATTAAACTTTGAGAAGCTGAAAGAAAACTATAGAATGTTTGAGGGTAAAAATTATATAGCTAAAGATAAAACTTAATAAATACCTAATTAAAATTAAACATACTGTTTCATACCTATATTATAATATTAAGTAATTATATACACCTACATATTTAAACACACACACACACACACACATATATGTGTGTGTGTATGTGTGTGTATGTATATACATAAACAAGACATAAATATATATCTATTAGGCGCAGTAAATATGCTAAATGCAACATGAATACAAACCAGAGGCGTCCGCGGCAGAACTAGTGCGCCACTATCTTTAGCCGCAATCACAACATTTAGGTGCGGTAATATGTTTTGGCACGCATACACTGGGCGAAACCATTAATTACAATACACATTACGCCTGTCTCTCCCGTAACATTATTCGAGCGTTTTCGTGATGAAACGCGACTCGTCACGTGGCACAATTATTAATGTCATAATCGAGTACCATTTCCATTGGGATTTTCAACCGATTCTAAAAAGAATGTGATTATTCGGTTATATATATATTTTTATTATTAGGGGACATTCAAGTATTACAGAACGCAATTTATGAAGATTTTTGACCCTTTCTCCCTCCAAGTAACGCATCGTAATATTTTTTCTGTACCTCCCCCTACATGTTACATAACACCTCAGTGCCCATTTTTACCTAAAAGTCACAAAACTAACGAATACTGACAACGAAAACAAGTAATTCTGTGTTTATTTGTATAAAAATATCTGGTTTTGCCACAATTAAAGCCGTTTTTTATGCAATCTTATCTTAATGATATTTAGAATATTTTGTATTTTGTTTAATTCCTTTTTTTGTATTTACTGTGTCTGACTTGCGCCATCTACCTTTCTCTCTGTACTTATCCATTATTTATGCCAGGTTGT